TATATTATTTTATCAAGCAATAAAATGAACAATTCTCTAAAACTAACAACATAAGAAAAACCGTTAATTTTTAAAACATTATTTTATTTTTATAAACCACTATATAGATACATTATATTTGTATTATCCTGAGATTTTGGCACAGTGTGTATCGTTACCAGTTAAATGTATTTTTCAGATTCCTTGTTTCAATCTTTGGGCTTCACAGAATGATATAGCTAGCTAGATTAGCGGGCAAATTTCATGGTCTGATCACAGTAAGAGCTCCGTACATATATGTCTTCTTCTGAATATATTTACGACAACCATACACTTTACTGTTTTTTCTACCATTCTTAACTTAAATTGTTCTTCTATTCCCAACTAAAAATTAAAATATACCTAAACCACAAGTATATTGTTTAAAGTTAATGTGTATTATTACATTCACCATCCATACACATTTAGCATGATAAACAACATAAATCTTAAATTTAGTTAAAATATCAATCATGTATAAATATTTTTAAATCATTTCAAAACATGAAATTGTTAAAACTTTAAAATATATTCACTATATATATATGTATAATAAACAATTTTTAATTTATTTATTAAGTAAACATTATAACGAATAAATACATTTAAAGTCATTATCACAGATAAAAAAAACCGTATGGTATTATTGTAAGACAAAGATAAAACTCATCATCCTTCTTAGATTTTCAAATTCGTAATTAAGTTAATTACTTACAGTAGTTATTTAGCCAAATCCCTTAGGCCAGTAAGATTTATTAGTATGCAAGTCGTTTGTATAATGCACTCAATTGACCATGACGTTCTGTAAAACTAAAAAAATAAAGATGTCGTCTTTGGTATTTATTTTTAAATCATGATTAAATTTTAATAAATAAAAAAATTTAAATCACTTAATTTATGTTTTAATTTCCATAATGTTAAAAAAATAATGTTTCAATATATCTTGATTTAAGAATAATACATTACAAATTACGTAATAATTTTAATTTTGGAAGCAAATTAGAAGTTTAAAATACGGAATTTTTTTCAACATTGTCAACAACATATTAGTTGGAAGAATCACCCAAAGGACAGAAGTATAGACTATCTTCTATATATAGTCTAGAATCTAGATATTATGATATATTATAATAATATAAATTATACATTTATATTACTTACTATTCTACACAATAGATTATTTTAACTATATACAGATCATCACCCGAATCCAATAATACATTTAAATAGTAACATTTCTATGATAAACTGTTAGCTCGTTGTATTTAATTATCTACATAATTTATAAGTTATTGTTATAATATTATGGTTTATAATAAAAAAAAATAATAGAAACTAGGTATAATAGAAAACAAATAAAAGGTAGGACATCAAATTATTTTGATTCAATGGTATAACCAATATTTCAATGTAGAAACTGATATCGAATAATAAACATTTATATAAAACGTAAAAATAATTTTTTTTTTTTTTTGATTTTAATTGTTACAAATAATTCACAGAATTTACCATAAAATTATTGTTATTTATACATATATATATTATTATATATTTATATGATATATACAGTAGTGCGGAAATTATAAAATGTCCAAATCCATGAGTCAAAGGATCAATGTGATAATTGTTCTAATATTAAAAATATTAAATAAATATTATTGCTATCACAATTATTTTATTCATTTTTTCGAACTCTACAAGCATTTTATCTCATGAATATATATATATATATTTATATATATATAAGAATATAATGTAGTTTATTTGTCAATAAAGCACTTGCCTATGTAATATTCAGAACACTCTTATTATTAGGTAGTAATTATACGAAATAGTGTTGTATGAACTGACCGTACTATTACTTAAAAACAAATTGCAATACCTAACCGATTTTAATTAGGTACCTACTACAATAATTATAAACCATATTTAATTCAAAACCCATTGAGCATATTAAACATTATTATCATTATTATTATTTTTTATTTTTTTTTAATAAATTACCTTTTATATTACTATTATAATTTAATTTAACTAGTTAAACTAAAAAACAAAATCGATTTTATCAAAAACTGAATTTGCATTTTTCTTTTATTTATTTTTATTTTTTCTGGTTATAAAAAAATATTAGAAATTGTTTACTTTTAGCTCCCCAAAGTATCAATTAGATCCACTTTCTTACTAGAAACCACCTCAATTTTTAAAAATCAAAGAATTTTTACTGTCTCAAAAGGTCATGATAGACAGTAAAAAATACATCATTATAAAATCAACACATTCATTGCTCCGCTGAGAATCTAAATTAATAAAGATAAATCCATAATTTTAAGTCATTTTTAAATATGGTTATTATACAAACAGTTTATGATTATGGATAATGATTAAAACAATGGTAAAAATTAATTACTGCAGAAACATACCTACCTATTTGGAGCTGTTAATACAAAGTAAATAAACGGGCTAATGATAGAATTTGAGTTTAAAATGAATCTGTATAAATTATTATAAATATATAGAGATAAAATTAATTTGAATTGTTAGTATTGCAGTAGGTTTTAATTTCTGTACCTACCTATATAAGTAAATTAAATATGTGTTTAAAATTAATTTTTGATGAAAAAATTTAAGTTTTCTATTTTTTTTTAAATAAAAATTACTTTCAACTTATGGTAGTTTGAAAGTTTTTATCATAATAAAGAAACCACAAAATAGTTACATTAGTTTATTAACTCGCACCGAAAATAGAAATTTTGAATAACATTGTTTTGGTAATTTTAACATTAAAATTTTTTTAGGCTTTTTTTTTAATTCCTTTTTTATGGATAAATCAGATATTTGATATAAGATCAACTTACAAGAAATAAAAATGTTAATGACCCTGGTTTAAAATATAATGATTTCTTTTACTCGAATATGTTTTTAAACTAAATTAAATCAATACGGTATACTTATAACTTCATTATATTTTATAGCACTTTGCAAAAGCTTTGTAAATATATTTTAATTATTTTATAATAATTTGAAGATAAATGTACTTAAATTTGTATATTAATTAATTTTAAGCCATTTTAATGTTCAAATAATTATTGTAAATATGTATATTGCTATTATAGATACTTAATAACTTTTAACTATATATTTTCATAGTTATGATTTATTTTTTTAATCGTATGCACAATATTTTTTTTACTTTAAATTACCTGTTTTAATATATGATTATATTTACAATATTTCAAAGAGGTAAAAACAAAGAGAATAATAATTAAGTAATATATTGTTAAATTTTTAATAAAGTAAAATAGAGATAGGTATTAAATACTCTACCTCTTTTGTTCTTATGTAATCGTTTTTAAATGTTGAATCATATTAACTTTAAAATACGTTCATATAACATAAGCTATACAAGATCAAAGATCAATATTTCTTGAGTTATGTTACTTTATGTTGTTTAATGTTCTATCATGAATGAATGCTTTATGGACTATGATTAATCAATTAATGGCATTATCAATAAATACGTTATACCTTGTTGTCAATATATATCTTTAAATAAAACTATAAATACCGAGAAATAATCTGTAGGTAATTAAAAAAAAGTTTAAATTATTCATTATTCACTTCGTTTGCTATCTTAGTTTTTCAGTAATTTTTAGTTAAAGAAATGGTAATTAAAGAACTTTAATTTAAGTTATTCATAGTATTTTTGAAAAAAATTACTAAGTAAGTTTTTTTTTACTGCAGGTAAGAATTATCGAAACTGATGAAATATATTCATTCATCCGGTTCTAAAGTGATTCATTATTCGCAAAACACAAAATCGATAAATTAATTGATAAACACATTTTATATAATTGCGTTTAATCTTATTATGTATTAACTTCTTTTATAATAAATTTAAAAATTTAATAGAAAGAAATGATTTGATCGTTGTAGCAGTTAATGCAATATTATTGGTTATAATTTATAACTTATAATAATAACCATACAACCTATTTATAATTACTATATAATTGCATTTTCTAATAGATAACAATAGATAACATATTATGTAAATTTGATGTACAATGGCATCTACATATTAAAAAACGGGGTTTTTCTCCCAGTGTATCTTAAATATTCTGATTTAAGACATATTTAATATCCTTAACGTGATGATAAGTGAATTAATTCAACAATGGTGATTTGTTTTTTCATGTTTAATATAATTTATTCACATGTTACATTAATTATATATTTTCGGTTTTTAATCAAAGTAAATATGATTTAAAAAAATAAAACGTTTCAATAAGTATATACCTTATGTGTTTTATTAAACTTAGTTACAAATAGGAATAAAACTGAATTCATAAGTCTGTAACAGGCATGTCAAACGTGATGTGTAACTGGACAAAGAATATTCAATGAAATTCTATATGGAAATCACACAATAAACTTATCAAAATAAACATTTTATACAAATGTACAATTACTGCTGGGAAAGTACATATACATTATACTTAACATAATAATTCTAACATAGTTACGAGGCAAAATAAAAATCGTATTTAGTTTGCTTAATTTCTCAATGAACCTTAATAATGGTTGTAGTAAATAAAAAAGCCAAAAGCCGTTTGACGTTTGACATGCTGTATTGTCTAAGATAAACGGATACGGGAAATGTCTTAATATTATCTTTTTATGATTTTTCTTGAACATTATATTTCAAAATTTATATTTTTACAGAGTTAGAAAATCTAAGACATTAGCCTCAGAGGCCTCTAAAATAACCTCAGATTTGATTAGATTAGATACCTAAATCAGATCTTATTGCATTGCACCTACAACACCCCCCGCTTAATTCAACACTCTGTGCAAGTACTTACACCGTAGTACCAAAATGTATAATATTTTGTAGGAGAGTACCAATGTTAAAATGATACTGTCGTATTAAAATATTAAGATATATCATTGATTTTTGATCGTCATGATGTTGTGTTATATAGCCGGAAGCATTTACATGAGCCATGGTTTTAGCGGCTACCGACCCCAACAGCTGTGTGACCCACGACTGCAACCGTTCCGGTTTCTGGGACCAACCATCCGGTCCGCGGTGACGCTCACAGTGCTGTGGATCGCCGCATGTCTATTGCATGCCTGTCTGCTGTACTTCTCAGCGCGGTCGCTGTTCCGAAACGGACAGATCGCCGTGCTGGCTACCATAATCATTTTGCTCACGTTGCTCACGTTGCTTTCCACTGCTGCGCTGGTGCACATTGATTGCAAGTATGATCCCGATTGACCCAGTCCGGAGGTCCAGGCGCCTACGGCTTCGGTCAGCGTAATCGGGCCCAGCCATTTGTCCTCGGACAGAGCCACTAAAGTGGCATGGGTTATATAATGCCATACACCAACACCAAAGTATATTGGCTGCGATAAATGCCACGTGACAAACACTGTGTTTATCACAACATAATGTAATTTATGTATTTAATTTTTAATTGTATACATTTATATGAACATTGTATAAACATTTTCAACTAAATAACACTTTTTAATTATCGTAAAAAATAAATTACGACTACGACATTTATTTTTCTCCACAATGACCAAATCTCGGACGACCTCCCTACAGGAAAATCGTACTTTTACATCAAATAAACGAATATGATGATCTCACATTATATTATTGATACCATTTTATGTAAATTGAATAAAATACACTGTTGTCCTGTTATCAAACTATGATAGCTCATAATATTATAGTTTCCAATACTACACTTTTTAACAAATTTCTCAGCTAAAGAATCTATAAAATACAATTTAAAAAATTCATTGATTCATAAAAAATATAACATCCGTAATAAAAAAAATCCTTTTCAAACATGAAATAAGTTTTATTTAAACCATACAGGAACCTAAATATATTTTATCCCAAAACTTCATTTTTTTTTTTTTTTTTTTTTTTAATGAATTTTCTGGTAAAATGTTCAATAACAAATAGTGCTTTATTTTTCTTTAGAATTTATAGTTCAAAATAAGAATTCAAGACAATAATTTTAAAACTTTTCACGTTCTCATTTTTTTTTTTTTTTTTTTTTGATTAGAAGTAGACTTCTGTAAATATTTATAAACTTAATTTTTTCATTGTTCGATGTATAAATAATTTCTAAAGATGTAAAATATGTAAATGTGAAAAAAAAAGTTTTTAGCAAAATTAAATCATCAAAGAATATATTATATAAAATTTGAATATAAGTATTAAATCCCATTGATTAGGTTAAAAATAAAACTTAAATAATATTTCTTCTGCATGTTGAATAGTATTTTTAAAGTGTGGTAATTATCAAACAAAATATTATTATTTAATAGGTTTTACATTTAAATAATTGATTGTTAAATTATTTATTTTATTCATTATAATAAATTATAATTAAAGATAAATACAATTATTTTCATTTTTTAAAATGTTTGTTTTTTATACTTAAACCTATATAATAGAATGAATATATGATACTAATTGTTTAATTTTAAAAGTATTATGATATGATAAAAATTATAATACCATATATTGTCACCATAACATATATAAATTACCTTTATGTCTAAGAATAATTACATAAATGTGCTTTTTATTTATTATTTTCAAATTAATGACTTAATTAACGATTTATTAACTAAAAAATTGTCTTTTGATTCAAAACTTTAAGAATAAAATTTACAAATAAAATAGTGATTATGATCAAATATATTTAGAACAAAGGTCACAAAGATAAGTTGGTATATTTTAATGAGTTTATAATAAACGTGTATTCCATAATCCTAAACTGTATACATAATATAGAAATGTAGAATACTAATAATATACACAAGATAAAGGTAGTTTGTTTTTTAAATCAAAAATATTTTTTTATTGTTTGAATAAATAAGATAACTAAAAATAAAAATATCATTAGTTTTAAATTAGTATCTTTCGTATAACTCAAAAAAAAAAAAAAAATTTCATTTGAAATTTATTGAAACAAAATTTTTTAGCTTCTAAAATATTTAATATGATATTCTTAATTTTATTAATAATTTATAGAGTTATGTATCATATATTTTTGAATATGACACAAACAAAATTGAAAGTTTACTTTAAAATTTCTAAAATGTTCATACGAGTTATTTACTACAGTAAATAACAGACCTTTATAAGTCACTTAGAGTCTTGAATAGACATTTAGAAAAGACATAAAGTTAACCCTAATACCAAAACTTTAGGAAGGCTATGTGAAATCTATATTATCTAAAGTCATATAGTTACAATTTCTTATACACTTATAGTATTTTTAAATAACTTTCATATTTTTTTTTTTTTTTTAACTTCGTATAGCCAAAATATTATAGCTATTAAGATATATCCATATACCTACTTAAATAAATAGCATGAACAGTAGATGTTAAGTGTACTTCGTCATTAAGTATTTCGCTATAATGTATGAATTTTTAATTATTTAGGTTTTAATATTATTAGTATTAGTAATAAAGTAGGTACTCTATGGTCTAAATAGACAATAGCTTAATAATTAAAATGAATCCAAATATTTTGAAATTTCGGCAAAATTTGAACTTCAAATGTTTGTTAGAAGACACTGTGATAATTTATTCTTTACATTTTCGAGTTAAAGTAAAAAGCTCTTTGAAGAACCTTAAATTACATTTTCAAGTCATAACTATAAATAATTATAAATTAATACATTTTTACTTACAAATAAATATAAAATTTCCATGTTTTTGACAAAAATCTTGTTAATATTAAAACTTTAAACTTATTTTAGTGTAATTAAAAAGCAAATAACTGAAGATAGTTTAAGTTGCTGGGACTGCCATAAAATGTTTATATTAGCATTTTCATTGTATGATTTCTTACATATTTTGACTCTTTTTGAACTATTATCTATACTATAGTACATGGAAAATTTCTCAGTTTTTTTCTTATAAATGTTGATAAAAAGCTTTCCTCTCATTCAAAAAAGCTTGGATACTTAATACAAGGTTCCTCATTACAAAATTGTTATTCAAGCTATTTTAAAAATAGCTATATAAAGAAACATAGAACAAATTAAAGAAATTATAAATTTTTAGAACCAGTCTTCACAGTACTAATTATATTATAAAGAAAATAAGTTGAATTTGAAATAAAATAATAGTTCTATTCACAGAAAAAATTATATCAACATTAATACGTGTACGTAAGTAACTATGTAATCATAAATATAACAATAGTACTACATTGGTTTGCTTTATTAATTTTAAAAATATTCATGAATTTATTTTAAATATTAGATACGTAATAACGCTAAACAAATTTAACTAAATAAGGGTAAATAATAGAAAATAAAAATCTAGAAACTTCAATATAACAGACAAAACAATACCACTCCACGAACCGCTATGATATGTGTTGTAAAAAAAAATATAATTTTGTTTTTCCGGTTCGTAGTGCGATTCTTTTGATTAAAAAAACGTTCTTTAGGCGCACACAATGATGAAACAAGAATAGATAATAGTAATAATAGACAATAGTGTACTATATGTCACCACTCACTACCCCTATTTGAACCAATATCCATGCTTTATTCATTACAATATAGTTAATAAAAAAATTCATCCACAAACTTTAGTTCTTTTAGATTCTAAACGGAGAAAATAAAATGAAATGAATGTATGATTTTACAATGTGTTTAATTTTCTTATGTGTCTATATGTCTGTAAACACGATAAATAGTCGATAAAATGAATTAATTTTCAAAATGGGGGTGGTTTCTGATAACAAATTGAATTTTGTTGGTACTTTAAGGGGATCAAAAATATTCGTAGTACCTACTTTTAAAAATAAATAAGAAAAACCACCAAAAAATAAGGAAATTATAAAAGTACAATTTTTTTTATATGCATTTGAAAAAAAAATTTTAACAAAATTCGTAAAAACCTCAATAAAATCCTAACTACTTAGTAGTTAAAAATTCATAAAAAAATTTCTCTTTGTATCTAAATTATGAAAATTGAATACAAAATTATTCATAAATATTTCATAAAAATACCGAAACCATAAAATCTAAAAAATAAATAAGTATTTATGTTAATTATATTGTTATAATTTAAAAATATTATCCGTGAAATCTTAAAACTATTACGTGTTACTTGTATAATATTATTATACATTTTATTATAGGTACGTAATAATACTGATGATATATTTTAAAGATGTTATCCATTAATAGTATAAATCTATTTTTTACTGTTTTACAATATTCACAAAAAATATACTGTTACATTTTGAGTTATCTAATTTAGTATAATATGGTATAAAATATAAATATATATTATTATCATAATTAAATACTAATAATATAAAAAACAAAATACATTTAGAAAAAATTATATTAACCTACTTTAATAATAAAAGTAAAATAAATGATTTTAATAGCTATACTAAAAATATATCATGAAATAAACTTAAGCTAACAGACCGTCTCCACTTATGATCGTTTTTTATACACAATAGCATATCATTGAATTTAAATTTAACACGCCTATAACAGTGATCCACTATACTCGAATCGATAGGGATCCTATACAAGAAACAACTATTGTTATCATCACACAACTATATAATAGTTATATAAAATGTATAATTTAAAATAAACTTTGTAATCAATAATTAATCCAGCTGTAAAAATATTCTAAAAATTAATTCTTATAAATTGTACGAAAAAAATAAACTGTGCATGTGATCTCACTTACGCTTGTATTAAGTGCTATTATTTATAATCTTTTAAATTCCTACAAATCACGCCTAATGGATTAAATATTTAGATACCTACACTACAAAACCTTGGTTGAAAAAAATATATTAATTAAGTATAAAAATATTTGTATTATTTAAATTATAGAAACCAAACTTCTAATATTTATATCATTATACATCTTGGATAGTTTGATAAAAAGCATTACTTTATAAATTTTAATTAAAAAAATATGTATCAACCCACTTTATAATTTAATTATTCATAAATGGTTTAAATATTAGTTGATGTTAACCATTCAATCAAATTTAGATTCAAAATGAAAAAATCAGTGTATGGTTTTAAATGGATGAATGTTATTTTTTATAAATAAGATTTAATTAATACTATATGGTCAAAAGTAATACTTTTCTAGATGATTGAATAAATCTAAAAAAAAAAGCAGTAAAACAAAAAATTTTACAAAAGAATTTGTTTTTAATTTTAAATGCTTAGATTCAGAAATAAATAGCTATAGAGACTTGAATTTTTCATCTAGAATTTATATTAAAAAGATATAAACATTATGATATGGTTTTAAAAATATTTTAGTTCTTTTTATATGCTTTTTGTAGTTATTTGAATTGTTTTAGTTTTTTATTTTTTAATTCACTTAGTAAAAAAAAGCTTGAAAATTAAATTTAAGGTTCCTTGTAAGTCAATCTTACAATAATAAAAATATATCGATAGTAAATAACAACAATTATTTATATAAGTATTTAAAGTTCAAATTCTTAAGAAATTCGTTAATATTTTAATTTAAACATCTGTTTGAAATTTTAATACAAATTTCTTATATTATGTTAGAATTTATTTTAATTCAAACAAAAAGTTTAGAATAAAGTCACATACTTTTTTATGAATGATTTTAAGTTTAAACTTTGGTCACATTGGATATTTACGTATTTATATAAACAAGTTTCAATACTTATTACCATGATTAGATGATGGTTTTAATAATAATTGAAAATTTTAGTTTTATAGCTTTTTGTTATATTATTTAAATACACAATTTTATGCATAATATTACATTGTAACTCATAAAGATAGGAAAATATATATGTATTATTATTAATATTTTAGTTATTTAAGAAAAATACGTTTTAATTATTTAATTATATTAACTATTTAATTCTTCTTGTCATGTCCGAATCTATTTAATGAATTTGTATTTCATATTATGAACTGGTCTTTCACACACCAACAATTTTTGTGAGACTAATTATTTTCTAGAAAAATAAATAAAAATAAATCTTATATCCTTAGTGATTTTTGTTATTTTTAAATAATTTTTATGAAATATTTAATTATTACTTGAATAATTATTTTTTAAACACCAATGATATTTACAAAATGTTTCAATTCATTTAAAATTATTTATTAGTACATATTTGGTACCTATTTTCAATCAATTTCAATTTTGTTCATATCATACGTATTTTTATTGTATAAAATTCTATACAAAAAAAATATGATATGTTGATGTAAATTTTTATGCTTGTTCAATAAGCTTGAACATTTAATACGATATTCATCATAATTTATACTTAAAAGAATATTATTTGAAAAGACTTTAAACTTTTCACCATTATATAAGTATATTACACAATGCAATTTTTAAAATATTTAGATAAATTTTAAGCTATTTATACCACGAACCTATTTACACCATTCTACGATACGTTATTAACATTAACTTATAAATTAATAATAGCTAGTATAATATTATATGAAATAATACTAAAATATAAATTCGAATTCAAATGTCAATAATTTAATCATGTGACAACGGAGATTAAATTTTAGTTTTAGTAATTTACGTTATATTCCAGCAATCCAAACGTTTTGTATATACCTATATAGTAACTTACTTATCAATATACCAAGTTTTATTACAGTACAGTTTGTTGGTTTAGGGTAGAATAGCCAATAATGATTTACATCCTTTAGCGACACAACAAAAACAATTTATTTGTATATCTACGTAAGTATACTATAGAGGTCTCTTTCTCAAATAACTTTCAGAACTTCCGGAAATGTTCTTTTAAAAATTTCTTGTTTAAAAATGCAATAATATCTTTGGTCAAAAGCGTTTATTTTTGGATTATATTTGATGAAAACCTATAAAAATAAAATGTGTAGCATACTTAAGTGGCTTATTATAATAAATCTTTTAATAAAAAATCATGAATTATTATAAGCTAAAATACTATAATTCTATGTTTTTAATAATTAACGTTAAAAAGCTCATTACTAATTGATTGTTTACGATATTAGAAAAAAGGTATTCTCTTTTTAGTGTCTTAACTCTTAATCATAGGCGTAGTTAAGGGACCTTGGTGGGTTTAGCAATTAGCCTCCCAAAATGCAGGCGAAGCCCTCCACGTGTCAGCACATGTCTAACTCTAAAAAGGCTACAGCCCTCCCCCCAAAAAAAAATTGACCACCCTACGCTAATGCTCTTAATACATATTTTATAAATTATTTAAATTTTTAATTTTATTTGTTAATTATTACATTCTGTATGTTCTAACTCTACCTTCAGTACTAACATTGGTAAAATATATAGATAAATATAAATAAATAAAATGTTACGTAATTTTAAATAAATAGAAAAAATGATGTATATGATTTTTTTTAACAATAATCCTAGTTCAATCTACCTTGTTATTAATTATTATTAATTCAAAAATAAATTACTGGATTATAACAACATAAATATATTTTAAAAAATCTTTAGCAAAATATTTGCTTTTAGAAGATTTTATATAAAATGATTTATGATTGAATTTAAATTTAACACATCCATTCATCGCAGTGACCTACCCATCTGTATTTAACACCTTCTATATAGACGGAGAGACCTTCTCAGTATTTTTAAACTCATATTTAACATTATTTTACTACATACAAATCTTATCAGTTGCAATATTCCAACACAATTTATATATTATAATTTATTTATGTACCTACATTATACACTAAGACTAAAGTAAAAATAGTAAATAGAAAAATGTTTTAAAACAATGTTTTAAACCCTAAGACAGTCAATAAAAAGGTAACTATGAAAATAATAATTTTAAAAGATACTTAAATAATAATCAATTTAGATACTTAAAAGAATTAAGAGTAAAATAAGTTAAAACTTATAACGTTGCCTATACCGTATATTTAGTCTATATTGACTATACATGAATTTCATTCCATATCTGTATAGCCATATAAACATGTTATGTACCTACTTATATACTCTGTTCTCTGTATAAATTAATTAAATACTAAAAGGTTATCATTTATCGTTCTATGGTTTCACGTGAACATAATATATATTTTTTTTAGTAATTAGATGATATCTCTTCAAACATAACCGGATTTTTGATTTTTGAGTAGACGTTATTTTTGTACTTAATATATATAAAAGTATAAAACTAAAAATGATTTACAATAACAATAAATGAAGGTGAGTTGAGGAAAGATATCTTCACGTTTCAACAGTAAAAAATAAATTAACCTTCAAATAACCCTCAGTCCGGATTTTTGATATCTAGGTATATCAATGACTCTTGTTGACACATATATATACTTAATAACAATAACAAAGAAAAAAAATTAATTAATTTTTATTTTATACGGTATATACTTTATTGACTACCTTTAAACGTTTTTAATAGTATCTATTATCTACTTTGTACCACAAAAAAAAATTTAAAAAAATACATTGCTCATTGATCGAATTAAAAATATTATTGTATAAATAGTACTTATACCTACCTTCGAATTCGATTTTTATTAAATATTTTTATTCATAGCTTATTAGGCCTATTCTTAATTTTTTATTTGATCTAAATCTAAATTCTACAGTAATAATTGACATAAATTACGTCTAAAAAAAGAACAAAATATATTACCTATGCAATTTAATCAAATGATATTTATTATTAAGCCGTGCATTAGCCACTGTTATCAAACAACCATATGATCAGAATATCGGATTGTCCTTATCAGTGTTTATAATATCGAAATTCTCTCGATGTCGTTAGAATGATGTTTGACTTTGAATGTCAAATGTATTTCATCTACAAAATACATAAAACTTTACAGGGTCAAATCCTCTAAATGGTAAGTATTTATAATTTATTGAATTATTTAATCGAACAAATAGAATCCTATTTATTCTACACTATCAACTTCCATAATCTTCTAAATAAGTAGTACTCAGTATTTTATCTACTTACCTTTATGTTTTATTTTTTATCCAATCTCATGATTCGACAGTAATTAGTTATAATAATAATGAAGTTCTTACTTACCAATCACTAATCAATCAATTGTGTTTATTGCTTATTTTTTATGCAACAGCAGTTACAGGTAGCTCACATTTCAGTGTCGTGTCTAATGATAATTAAAACAGCACTTAACAAAACCAATAATGGTGTTCACACAAGTAGTATCTATCAAAGACAAAGCACCTGGAACCAAAGTATATAATTATGCTGATTCATTTTGGTGTACATATATTGTGTCTGTGGTGGCTGCCAGTGTTGCAGAAATATGTAAGTACCTATATCTGTAGTAATCCTATATACCTAATTTTATAATAATGAACTGATACAAATTTGTATTTAAATATTTGTGCTATATTATATTTTTCCTGTGCAGTGACATATCCATTGGATTTGACCAAGACCCGTCTGCAAATACAAGGTGAAGTGGCTTCTACCAGTAAACCTACACAATATAGAGGCATGATAAAAACAGCTATTGGCATTGTCAACGAAGAAGGAGCACTAAAATTATGGCAAGGTGTGACGCCTGCACTCTATAGACATGTAGTGTATTCTGGTATTAGGATTGTATCGTACGAAACCATGCGTGATAAATTATTATTAAAAAACGAAGATGGATCATTTCCAATTTGGTATTCACAAATAAACAACACAAATAGGTAGATTCTTTGATTATTTTATTTAACTTCAGGAAATCAGCCATAAGTGGAGTCCTGTCTGGTGTAATTGCTCAGTACGTTGCTAGTCCAGCTGATTTGATCAAAGTTCAAATACAGATGGAAGGCAAACGACGTCTGATGGGAGAGCCTGCTAGGTATATTTATTATTTATCGTTCAACTTTAATATATTATACATTTATTATTGTATGATCATTTTAATTCAACTTAATTATATTTTATCATTTTATATAAGAGTGTTAAGTGCAGCACATGCGTTCAAAAAAATAGTGTCTGAAAGTGGTATCCGTGGTTTATGGAAAGGTTCAATACCCAATGTACAGCGTGCTGCTCTAGTGAATCTTGGTGATTTGACTACTTATGATACAGCTAAGCAAATAATTATGCACAAAACTGGGTTACCTGATTCGCATCTTCTACATTGCCTTTCTAGGTATACTTTTATTGATTTGAATTGTTTTTTTTGTTTTTCATATAAACTATTAATATTTATAAATTTGATTTATTACTTTAGCATATGTGCTGGATTAGTAGCAGCTTCATTAGGAACTCCAGCAGATGTTGTAAAAACACGTGTTATGAATCAACCAACTGACAAAAATGGAATGTAAGTTCAATCACTATAAATATAATATTAAGAGATACATTTTTAGAATTCAATGTTAATAATTTTTTTTTTTTAGTGGTTTGATATACAAAGGATCTTTGGATTGCTTGTTTAAAACTATTGAAAATGAAGGGTTTTTTGCTCTTTATAAAGGATTTTTACCTGTTTGGATTAGAATGGCACCCTGGTCATTAACTTTTTGGATGAGTTTTGAACAAATACGCCATATGCTTGGTGCTACTGGGTTTTAGAAATGACAGAGTATAATCATTAGATCTCATTTTTATTATGTTTTTGATCTTTTACAATAGTTTTAAAATATGTTAAGATGTTTATTTTCAATATCTATATCTTCTGTGATTGTATAGAAAGTTTAGGTTATGAACATAACGCTACACATAATTTTTCTTGTAGAGTCTAAATATTGACTTCCGTAAAAATACTATGAATTACAATATTAAGTAAATTTAATGATAAGACATAACATTATAACAATATCATTAACAGTCCATCTTCATCAAGCAAAAATTTTGTTTATATTTCTGTTACTGCAGGTTAAATATAAAATTAGTAAGTTTGTTTACTCTTTACTTATCACCATATTGAATTAACTTAATTTTTTTTAAATTTAACTTGATTATTAACTTTATGATAGTTCAATATTTTAATATTATAATTTCAAAAGGTAAAATATTAAAAAAATATATTATCATAGATTTAGTTTACTTCTTACAATATGGTAACACAAATTTACTCAAATACTTTCCTTAAACCTACAGTAAAAGAAATAAAAAACAATATTTTTCTATATTGTGTACTAAAATGACAAACAGTCAATGTCAATTTAATAACTCCCTTAAAATAAAACAAATGAAAATTATGTTCTAGCATTAAATATATATATAAGTAAAGAGTAAATTTATCATAATTTTGGGCTCAAACTTGTGTCGTTATTAGTGTTATGTTTAAAAAAATAACTGTTGTATTGAAATGTTTGTTATGTTAATTATTTAATCTATATTTAATATTTGGTCAAATACCAATTATTTTATTATAGATACTACCCAAATTTATCTGTCAATTTAATTTACTTGTAAAATTATCTTTTGTATTTACAAATTAATAATACATATTACAAATTAACTATATTTTATAGAAATTGTAATACATTTCTAAAAAATGTATAAATACTTATACATAAATACATTATGCAATCTATGATGCCAATTAAATCCAATATATATTACTAACACACAATTCATTATGGTTTTTATTTAATTATTTACATAATTATAAATTAAATAATATTATTTTAATATGGCCATTAAGTGACAGCCTAAGTTTGATGAAATTTTGAAAAAATACTAACATTTATAATACAAACTTAATGAATTGTTCTTTTACATCTTGAAACACCTGATATAAAAGAAGAGACAATTAACAAACTTTGTCTATAAAATACAGTAATACTATCAGTAAAAAATTATAAAACCCAGGAAGTCGCACTGCTGTATAGTAGGATTAAAATTTACCTCATTGTTATACTTAACAATAATTGATATGTTCAATTTGAATTCAATGATCATTGATATCAGAAAAATCATTCTGAGTAAAAAAAAATGCATCAAAATATTCTAAAGATATATTATAATTTTTACTACCAATAATTAAATAATATGTTGAATTATTTTTTGTACAAAGCATAACATATATATATTTATTAAAAAGCATAATAAAATCTATACATTTGTATGTACAATAGGTAATTTATATATTAGATTAAATACCAAAAAATTATAAGGTGTAAAGGTTCTCAGTAGTACCTCTTGAAAAATTGAAGAAGTAGTTAATTTTCTAGGTTATTCTCTAAACCAAAACCGTTTTAATACTCTTTGGGAATTATTAGGAGTTACACGGAAAGAAAGTCTATTTATTATCGGATTTCTATAGTGGATTAACTTTGAATAGAACTTAGTCAATTGAGATAGTGTTGAAATTTTTAAATCGTTATGAAGATTGGTGCTTTTGATGTATTATTATAACTCGTCTTCTGGTCTACAAAAGTGAAAAGATTTCTTTGTTCCGTCTAATCTGTTTTTCTATTATTATCCTTATTGCTAAAGTCGCCTCTCTAGTTCTTATGTTTTGTCTGAAACCAAATTTATCATCACCTAGGTTTGCTTATATTGTCTTATCTATTCTATTCTTTTTTAATCTAGTTATTATTTTTGAGGTATATATGTTAAGATTTAAAGTTCTATACCTATTCCTCACTTTTGCTTTGTTTTTTAATTTCCATAAATTCCATTTCTTTGTGTTATTTTTCTTTTAATGCTTTTTTATTTTAATACTAAGTCCATAATTAAGAGATTATAATCACTATATATTTATATTTACTCCGAAACATGCTTTACTTTGCTTAATTTGGTTTCTAAATCTTTGTTTGGTCATAATGTAGTAGTTAGTTAGATAATTTGGTACTTCGCGATATCTACAGATTTTCAAGTTTATCTTCTTCATTTATGATTCTTGAACAAGATTTTTATTATCACCTACTTGTGTTGCTTACAAAATTATATGAATCTCTTGCCTCTCAAATTTATTTTTTCTAGTCTATAATTTCCTATTTTCTATCCGCGTCATTTTCTCTTACTAACGTATTCTAAATTCTAATAACCTAAAATAATGATGTTTTATCTAGCTTTTGTTGCAGAATCTCTTGTATTTTATCATACACTTCTTCAATAAGGTCATCGTTGTGATTGGTATAGTATATACATGAACAATCTTTGTGATTGTTGGATAGGAATTTATCTTTACCATGATGGATCTATCAGTACTTTGAAAATAGGTCATAGGTATGATTTTTACCATACTGCTTATTTACAGGAATCCTACTCCTGTGCATTTATCACTTGAACCTGTGTGTACAGATTTATATTCGTCGTTCCAAAAATCACAACATTCATATTATTTTAGTTCACTTACTCTAAGTATGTCCATATTCAGTCTTTTCATTTCTAGCTTAAGATTTTCAAGTTTTTCACATCTTCCAGGGAATCTTACACTCTAAGTACAATTTTTTTTGTATCTCAACTTTGCGTCTCTCAAAGTAGTTCACCCGAACATCATAGAAGATTATTTTGCTTTTAAAATTATTTACATTGAGTTAGCAATTCATTCTGCAAATACTAGGGATGTTTGTGTAGTGGGTTCCCATTTCCTCCCACGTCGTAGTACTGTAGTTGTAAAAATTTCTTTCATCACAGCTAAACAAACATAACAGCTATTTAGTATGTAGCTGTACTAGCCCGTTTGGCCTCCACCTACATCCAATACTGGACAAGTTATTGCCCTCAGCCAATCCCTTTTAACTGCCTCTTATGGTCAACTGGAAATATTTTGGGTCTATTTTTTCCCCGAACCCAAGCGGATAGTTAAAATTCCCTGTACTTTTCAAAATAACCGGTAAAAACAAGAATTCATACCTAAAAACAACATTCGACTAGATTTGAACATTCAATATAATAAAATTCCTCATAAACTTTTCCACTAAAATTAAAATAAAAAGTTTACCGGAAAGTCATATTAACTTTTTACGTAAGTTCAATTTTTTAAGATATTGCAGAATATTCTCTAATGAAACATATATTTTTATATTATATTATACACACAATAATATTTTTAAATACAAAACTTTTGGCAAAAAACAAAAAAAATGACAATACCTACTCTGTATTATTACAGATAATAAAATTAATTATTTTAATATAAATATAAATATACTAAATATAGTATCATAAAATATACACATCTTCACTCAAAATTATTTTTCGTATGCCATGTTTTAACATTGAATTCAAATTTAACACATCCATTGTGAAATTTTATTCAATATATTATAATTTAGTCTTCTATATTATTTATAAATGACGTGCTTCGCTCAACACCTATTCTGTAGCACAGCGGTTACCTACCTACTTTTTTTTTATTACTTATATTATTTTGAACTGTAGTAAATTAAAAAATATTTGTACGACCGTAGATAATTAAAAATGTTGTGAGAATGGTTGAATCTTAAGTGTTGAAACGAACACATTAATTAGTATATAGAGTTCTTAAGCCTGATAGATCTTTAATTAGAGCTTAGGTAAGAAGAAATTTTAAATAGTATGTAATATTCGTACTATATAAACAATATATATATTCGTATGCAGGCTAACTACTCATTTTTCAAAAATCAAAATATATAGAAGGTTATTTTAATTTATGATATTAATACATTATTACAATCATAAAACTTAATACCTATATAAATGGTATCATTAATTATAAACACTAGTATTTGCGTGCACAAAATCAGTGTATTTTATCTATATAGCTATTACATATATATTTTGTTATCAGTCTACCTAAAAAAAATTCTATCTACGTTCCTGGTTAGGAAACCTCCATAGTCCAAGATTCCACCAATCACAGTCCATGTTTAGTTTCCTAAAATGTTATTGTGCTTAAAATGGATTTTTGACCATAACCTCTTACAGTTAGTTATACCCTAAACATGAATGTCAGCTTTACCAAAAATCTTTTGAATAATGAACTCGCAAGCAAAATAAGAAGTTTTTTTTCGTCAAAATACCTATTAGGTAGATGTCTCGCCATGTTTGTCTCCGTCTTACAAACGTACAACAAAGGTAACGAATTTTCATTCAACAGAACTTGCTTGACAAGTAAATATCGTTAAAAATTAACATATACAAGTACAAATAATATCTGTTTTCTATATAATTTTCAAGTTTAATACTAAGTCAATTTACTCTAATATTAAAATCAACATAACAAAATTGGTTCCGATGAACGCAAATTTGCTTTGTTGTATACTTACAAGTATACGTTTGTATCAAACGAAGAAATGTCTATGAGTAAAACATCATTTTAACTCTTTTAATTTAACATTTTTATGCATTTCATATTTTAATTTCTAAGTACTTTTTATGATTAATAAACTTTAAGTAAATAGGAATTCCCATTATTTTTACCTGCAGTAATTAATTACATAAATTCTACAATATATATACTTAGATACGTTTCAACAATGCGATATTATTAATTTGATGATACTACAAAAGCCGTGTATCTATTATAGATTACCTGTATAATGAATAATTTGCAATATAATAGAGTTTTAACAGTGTTTATATAATATTATAATATAGCTTAGATAGTTATGGTTGGTTAGATTCTTAGATTCTATGATGTATTTGACGAATGATTGGTGATATTTTAATTAGATACTTCATTAAAAATGAAGAGATTATTAGACAATATTAGATCAAAATAATTTAAATATTATTTAAATAAAATAATAATTACTGCATAATAATCATAATATTGGTGTAGATGTTTTATAAGTATTTTATTAATTCAAATATGTTTAACCTGTAAATTTGTCGTAATCCAAACCACAATTTTAAAGAAATATCAGAAGTTACATAATATGTAATTTTGATATAAAATGGTTTAATTATGACTATTTTCAGTTTTCTTAGAAAACATTTTTTTTTTTAAGTGAAAGAATATGCTTAGATAAGTATTTGCTTTCGAACATAAATTTACTAAACCGCCGTGTATTATTATTTACACAGCAAATTTATTATACTGTAATTTATGTAGTATTCATTCAGGCGTTCATAATTCAAAATTCATAGTCTAAAAATAATTATTAGCTAATATTCATTTATATTTTTATATACTTATTTATTATAAATAATAAACTTAATATTATACAATATTAATAAAAGAATATTAAAAAAATTATTTTTAATCACCGGTTAAAACAATTAATTCATGTAAAGCGTGTTTCGAATTTTATATTGGGAGTACCGTATACATATTTGTTTTATTTTCAACAAAATATTTTACTTTTAATTTATTTTATATTTTATGTATACAATTAGATATTTTATACACAAACAATAGGTTTACTATGAATAACGCGTTATTCTATTTGGTATCGTTTTTTTTTCCTTTAACGTTTATACAGAGGATTATGCCCTAAACATGCCACCCATTTTTGTTCTTTAAAAAAGAACTTGTTCAATTATTTTTAAATTATAGAATATTTAAGTTCAGATACTTATTTAAAGAACATAGATACTTTCAAATATACTTGAATTGGTTACTGTTTAAGGAGTCCCATAGGCCATAGTGATACAAACTTAATACACAAATAGGTATAATTCCAAAAACTATTTAATCGTAAAATAATTTCTATTTGGATGAATTAAAAGTGTTTTGTTTAACAATAAAAATAAAAAAAGGATGGTTATCATTAAAAAAAAAGTTTATCACCACTATATATTACAAAGACACTTCTTGATTGATATGAAAAAAACTAAGTATTTGAAAATATGTTATCCTCAGGTATAATTAAAAAAAGAGTATTATTAAAAGGTTGAAACGAATGAATATGCTTGATGAATTACTTTGTAAATATTAGGTGTTTATTAATACTTATTAAACAAATAATCATTTGGTAATTACAAAGTGATAAACATTTGTAATTTCGAATTTTCTCTACAGGGGTTAGAAGTTAAAATTATTGTTTTCTGAATTGAAAAAATAATCTAAACTTATATAATTCAAAATTGCTGTGTATTATTTTTCCATTTTTTTTTTTTTTTTTTTTTATTTTTCTTCTCTAAATTAATTAAAGGTTTAAATAAAACTAATTTTAAAATTTGATAATTCTTTTTACTTATTGGTATTGTGATCATAAATAATATTAATAAAGATATTTTCTACACCGGGAAATGTATAAAGTGCTTAAATGTTGAAAAAAATAAAAATAAAATCATGAAAAACGAACAATATAGTATAGTTGAAGACAAAATCAATACGGGGATACGTTAAATCGCAGGTCGCTCAACCGCGCATTGGCGCGACCTCTAGTTTTTCAATATATTTTGATTAAAGTTTCAACTTTAATTATTTTTTAATATTTTCCATAGTAAACATCAACTTAATATTTATATTAATTTAATATTGTTCTTATTTTATGTATAGTAACCTTCCCACGAGTTACTACTGTGGTTTATTTGCTTTTTTATTTAATTAGATTTTAATTATAAATTATTGTATCTTAAAAATTATTCAAAAACGAAAAAAAAAATAAATTAATAATAATATTAGTTGATAGCAGTTAGTTAATATATTAATGATACTTAAAATAAGACACGGAAATGAACAATTCACGTATACAGCTCATTTAAAGCACTGTTAAATTTTAAAATCAATTTGAAAAATATAATTACAAGGATGGCATTATTAGAGGAAAGAGCATTAAAGCTAACAAATTTAAGATTAAGAGAAAATAAGATCTAATTTAAATGATTACTATGATGTGAAAGAGAATGGCAAATAATGAATAAATTATTAAAGTAAAAAGTGTTCCTATCCATAACTTTTAGTTGTGGTATGATAGCAGATTATGACCGCTGAATAATCTTAAGTATTTGATTATTACTCCTTAATTTTTAAAGATTGAACTACGGATGTGGAGAGATGTTTTTGGATATTTTCCTGCAATAGTTTATTTTAAAACCTATTAAATAAATAATTGGTAATACGAGAAGTTCTTACTTCTTAGGATTATTAATTTATTATTATTATTATTATTATTATTATTTAAAACTTTAGGTAGGTATAAGACTCTAAGTTTTTAACCACTATAATGTCCATTGATCAACTGTCTTATCAAAATTTACAATTAATTAACTAATGTTATATACTTCGTTTATTCAGTAGCGTATTTTAGAGAGGTGTCCTCCATATCTGAACACCCTCAAGGGCCTTAATTTAAGAAAAATAGCCCAATGTATTTACGCATGCCTATCAAAATATTGATATCTAAATTTATGAAGTAAAATTAATTTTACAAGATTCGACGACAAGTTTTAAGGTTTATTTTAAAGTTAAGTTTGTAGTTTGGAATATTCGGGAATTATTCAAATTTATCAGGTCATTAAGTGATATTTTAAACACCTTTCGAAAAATCAACTAAAATACGCTACTGCAGTGATTTTCAACCTTTTAACTTCCGAGTACCACCTACATTTCTTGAAATTTTTCACGTACCATTTAATTTAGAAAACTCTATTTTTTCATTTTGCTTTAAAAAATTTTTATAGAATATTAAAATTTATTAAACAAAAGTAAAATTAAGCATGTACAATTTGTTAAAACATAAATCGACCAAGCATTACAACATTATAGATATTATCGTTTATCTAAATTTCTATTTTTAACGTGAGTAAAACCGACTATTTGGTTTAATAATCAAATAAACGAAATAATATTTAATGCATATAATAATATTTTATTTTATGATAAATATTTATTTTTCATTCAAGTACCACCTTTAAGCTTTCTGCATACCACTAGTGGTACGCGTACTATAGGTTGAGAAACGCTGCGCTACTGCATATATTTTTATATAATATAATTCTTATATTAAGTAATCACCTATAATATATATGTTATGTTATAATCATTGATAGTATATAAAAAAATTACTAAGTACCTAGTATAATATAAAAAGTAGTATTTATATTATGTCTTTTTATTCTTCATTTACTTAATTTATAAACTAAACTACAAGATGATTTTTAGTGGTTAACCGCAAATTAAAGTATTTCTAATTCCTATTCCATCTTAGCATACCTATTACAACTATTGTATTTTATCAGTATTATTGATAATAATAATAATAATATACGCTCGAGTAGCTATTCCCAAAAATAATTATAGAGTTGTATTTCGATTTCTTAATAGTTATGGTTAATTGTATTAAAGGTGCATAATATCGGAATTTGGTGAAATACAAATAAAGAAACTTAGATAAATTTTCGGAGAAAATCAAAAAAACGATAGTTTTAATGAACCAATCAACTATAAGTACTATATTAGATTTAATTTACAATAAACATTGACAATATTAGGCTGAACACACATTTTTGAACACTATTTTTATAAATTAAAAATTATAACAGATAATTAACTAAATATAGATCTATAAAATTAATAACCAATATAGTTTTATCCAAAAAATGTGATGTCATCTATTAAATGTTTTCTATGTAAGGTCTAACAATTTCTAACTTCGTAAACTAGTCTATATACGATATATAGCTACTATAATTATAACCACAACAATGATAGTAATAATAGTAATAACATACAATAAATTTGTATTATAATTGAGAAAACAATAAACTAAAATATAGTTTATGTAATTGATTGTATACTTGTTAACAAAACCGCGTGAAATGCCGCGTGACTATATTATAATATTATTTTATTTCAGCCACCTGTTTGCATAAACCAATAGCCCTCTCACAGTCACACATGATATAAATGCAGTATATTCGACCTTAGATCCTTTGCGAGTGAAGAATGGAAGGTGTTGTATAAAACGAAGAGGTATATGAAGGAAGACAGCAAAAATCGTATGTGTATATTATATATTTATATAAATACACTCATATGAACACCACAAGGAAACGATTAAGTACCTACCGTAAGTTTATACATGTTTAGAAATACTACCTATTAATACTTAAGGATACTCCTGTACGCCTATTTAAATATGCAAATGCAAGTATACATAGGTACCTACATACAATTCCAAAAACTGTACAACACCGTAGTATACATACAATTATACACGTTTAGGTATATTATGATGATTTTGTGAAGTATATTGATGAGATTGCACGTTTTAATGTTTTGACCTCAAATTTTTTTTCGGACAACACGTGTTGCGCACATCAACTATACGGCGTAAGATAAAATATTTTAATGTAAAAAAAGTTTAACTACTTGATAACCCTGGTCATCCTGCAAGTAGTTTTTATTTTACAACTGCAGTATAATATTTTATTATTAACAATATTTTCGTTCCTTTTATTAATATAGATAAATAAAAAATCCATAATGATGGTCTTTTTTAGTGTTCAAATCTTCCAAAGTACCTATGTAATAAGACTATTGATAATATTAACAAACACTTTAAAACCAATAAGCTAATGTTAGCTTATTGAAAACAACACAATAGCACTTAGATACCTAATTTTATTAATTTCTTCAATACATTCATTGCAGTAATTTTTCTCTGATTCGAAAAGGCATCCTAACTAAATTTGATTGATACATTCCAAACGAAAATTTTTGAATAATGATAGTTGAAACTTCTTACCTGATAATATTTTAAGAAAATAACATTGCAAAAGTGTAATACATATTTATAATAATCACAATATTTTTATTTTATAGGTAATCTTAATTTCACTAAAACAACTTAAACACAACTGAACTACTATATTCACAGCAATATAAAAATCTTTATAATCTTTTTTTTTCAATAGCTCGGATCTTAATTATACATTTACGCTTTTAGAGTGCCTAAAGAGTTTTAGAACATTAATTTGTTTAATTATAATTTTAATTTTTTAGGATATTCAATATGACAGTTTTGTGTTATAATTTACAAGCACATTATATAAATAATAAATATAACTACATAGGTGCAATAAACAATAAACATTGCTTCACAATTTATAAATCTTAATAATTATGGTTTTCATAAAATAAAATATACTAGTCTTTTATGCCTATTTAAGTATGTATCTTTGTTTATTTTTAGGTGTCAAAACAAGATAATACGATTTATTATTTAACGTTAAAATAAATAATAGATAAAACGTAAATTATAATTATTTATTATTTATTAAAACTAAACTTGGACACTTGATTACTGTGATCAAAAATATAGTTAGTGTCAGAACTATTTTTTTATAGTTTAGTACATAATACCTTTATAAATGTTAGAAATATATTTTAAATTAATAAATTTACATGACAGAATAGAATAATAGATTATTAATTAAAATATTAATATTTTTATTTCATCCAAACAACCAATTAATGTGTTTTTGTGCAATTTCATAACACAGAATATCATAATATTTTCTATTTTAACGAGAATATTATATTGGGTTTGTGTCACGTTTTCCAACGGTTAATATTTCAGCCATTTTACGATGCCCTTGCGGTAGGTTTTTTTTTTTATCAAAACGACCCCATCACTACGTAGAATGTAGTCGCATCGACCCGCACTACTGGTGCGCCCTCTGCTTGTGCTCGTAACGAAGTCCGTAGCGAACGAATAACAACGTTGTACCAACTACTATTATAATAAAATATATGAGCCGTTGCAGTAGGTACGCAACTCGGCTTGAAATATTTTGTTTTCGGAACACATACAATAAACGGGCCGGTTACTTCTACATCGTCGTACATATTATATGTGTTTTGGTAACCACTGGCTTATTATAGTGGTGAGTAAGCCGAATACAATGTGAACAGTGAACAGACAACCAGTTGACGGTCGATGCGCGTGCGCGGTGGGGAAAGCTAGGCCCGGTGGCTAAGCCAGCTGCTGTTATCGACGCTGCCGTCGCCATCGAGTTCTCTTTTAGGAATTGTTCCTATTATATAAAATAATGGATATAAATCGCTCCCACCGTTCACCATCATCAATGCACAGCCAGCGTTTTGATATTATATTATCATTATACCCTGAAAATCGATGACGTTTCGTTAAAATACAGTTTCCCTTACGTACTTACTATTTAGTTTTTACGTTGTATTATCATAACGTTCCTACGCACATATTAAATGATAGAATTTCTCCGACCTAGTCTCAGACCTCTGAAGTCTGGAAACTTAAGAATAATGATTAATTTATACTTCATTACAATATAAATAAAATATATTATGTTCTAAAACCATAATATGAGAAGTTTACAATAATCATACTCGACGAATGAATTGAGTTATTCTGCAATAAAAAATATAAAATTGGAACACGAATAAATCATAACATAATGATTATTATTTCCGAAAACCTTTCTATAGTTTACTAATTTTGTATTCTTGTGTTTGAAGTGATTCACTGATAATTATATATATATATATAAGTAAGTAGTAAGTACCAAATAAATACAACCCGTCTATAATACTACTTTAAACCAAATTATTTCAAATAATGTAAATTATTAGTCATATAATACCTTACCCAACCTATTATAAGTTATTTTTACTAGATATTGGGGTGCTGGTTATTCAGAACGTTAACACATAATAAGGGATAACTTATTTCTACAACACATATTTAGTTTTATTTTTACCAATATATTATATAACAATGGTATTATATTCATGTAACAACTACATATTTAAACATCTTATTTCTGTAGTTGATTGTAATCAAAATCAATAAAGCGGTCTTAATACATTTTTTCACGAAGTCAGAAAAATTCAAAAAAAATCAACGGCCCAAAATTGTGTTACATGGCACATTTATTATCGGAGTGAACGGACTATTAAAATAAATAAATAATAACAACATATTGTTACGCCTTGAATTATTTTATTAGAGGTTATTTATTGATTAAAGTTAATATATTAGATATAATGCCTGAATTAATAATAATGTTTTTAATGTTGATAAATATTGTGCGTTTTGCAAAATTAGATACTTTTTGAACATACAGGTGTGAGACCAACAACTGACAAGGATAATCGTTGTTTTGTGTTAGCACTCGGCAGTTTCGATCCATAGCGAGGTCAGTTCAGACAAGTGTGACCACCTTTCATGTACCTGTACTAAGTATTTTATATAAAAATGTGTATGTTAAGGTTAACCATATTTTATACCATAACACTTAAAAAATTTATAACATTTGAATTTTTTATAGTTTTCAGTAAAGTTATATGTATTATATATTAAAATTGCTTTTTAAAAATTTAAACTATCCATCTATTTACTTTTCAAAAAAAAACAATCAGTAATTAAAGAAAGTGTGTACTAGCATTAGCGTATATAACACTTATAAATAAATCATTATTAAATATTATGATTCTTAGTATGTATATTGTAAATTAATTATTCATTTAAGTAGAAAAAATAAATAAAATATAATAAACATTTAATTTATGTTTAGTTAATAGTCTTATATAGGTAGTAAGTATACTGTTAAATATTATTAATGAAAGCCAAAGAGGTACATAAAAGCATTTAAAACATGTATATTCAATCATTTTTATATGGTATTCTATGGTTCTTCGTTTGAATTTTTTTTTTTTGAGGGGAATTTTTATTCAAACTTACTAATAAAAATACTCTAAATATAATATAATATATTTCAATACCTAAAATAATAAAAATATTAATTACCTATAATGAATAAAAAATAACATTTTAGATTCTAAGCGGGACTGATGTATTTATTCATCAGTTATCACTTTTTAGGGCAGTAAGAATGGTTAAATTTATAGCTTTTTTATCTTTTATAGTAGAAAAGACAATCTAGGAGGTACTTTAGGGATTAAAAGTAAAAAATTCTAAGTCAAGGAGGTATTTAATTCTATATGCAAGTGTATATTCTTTTAATTTCTCAAATGTATATATTTGATTATTTTTTATACATGATATACATTTTAAAATATTTTGACTCTTTTTAAGCTATTTATTTACATTTAAAATGTTCAATATTTTTTAATTCTTCATTTTTTATAGTCAACAACAATTTTATGCTCAGTCAAAAATCTAAAAATTAATATAATATCCTACTTAAGTTGTTCTTTTAGCAATATTTAAAATATATATTATGTAAGTTTTTTGCTTTTCTTTGAATGACTAATTGATTTTACGATTTTGTATGTATATTTTCTTGTACCACGTTTACTCACTGTGTCACTAGATACAGATTGTAAATTTTATTAAAAAAAAATTATAAAAAAGTATTTTTGTTTAATAACTGTTTGAAGTTCATGTTTTGTCAAAATTATGAACAATCGCAATTTATTTTGGATATAAAATCGTAAAGATGTATAAAATGTATATTTTTTATGGCAAAGGCCTGAAAATTTAATTCAAAACTCTACAATGTAGACTCTACATAATAATAGGTTTAACCAAAATCCAAAAAATCTATAAAAATATCATCAATATTTTTTTTATAAACAATTGACGTTAAAATTTCAACAAAAATAAATATTTAAACTAAGAATAATGTTTTTTGTTATTTTGTTGGAATTCAAATATATTTTAGGAGACTTGAGATTTTTCTGTTAATTATTAAATATTGCTATTTACACACAGTGACATTTTAATAATTAAATTAATTTTAAACTTATTGTCTATTTATACCGCATATTAGTGTATTACTAATAGTAATATAAATATAAAAAAAATAAACTTAATAATTTAGGCTGATGGTCTCTTTTCAAAATCATTTTTTTGATGATTTATCATCAAATTTAAATTTAACACATTCATTACAGTGGTCAGTGACCTATTCTCTATGACGAGGTACACTTGACTGGAACTGTACAGCAGAGCGGTAACCTACATTTACCTATTTTTTTAGTTGATAAACATATTTGTAAAGTCTAAATATACTAGTAAACAGATAGTTATGACCGTTATGAGTTACTCAAAATAATACTATAATATTTTTAATTTAAATAAACATAAATGTAGCTGTATGAATGTACGATAATTTGACAGAAGTAATATAAAATATAATTTTACGAAAAATATCTAATAAATATACGGTAGGTTAGTTTAGAGTTAGTATATATCAGATATAAAAACATTCCTCCCACTTTTAAATCTTCTCTGACATTGCTTAAATTCGTTGCGCCTCTGAACATATGTACCTATAGGTATAATGTATTTTATCGTATGACTGAGTGGCAAACATATGTATTATGTGATTTATTTTTAAATCTCAATGATTTGGTACTTAATAATTGTTATTTGGTATAGATACAAACAGTGATTTAATATTATAAACAAGAAAAATTCTTTCAGATCAAATTATACTTTAAGAGTTTTACAATAAATATACATCATCAATGTCCAATTAACCTCTATATAGTTTAAAATTTAACACAAATAGTGTGGTATACAATGTATAATCTGCTTAAGACGTAACTTTTCAGCAATTTTCTAGAATCTTGCTGAATAAAACTACTAACAATCCACACAGCATTTAACAAAAATATTTCTTGTGTTTATGTCAACTTTTTATTATTTAGTCCTAGAATATTTCCATAGCATTGAGTATAAATAATATTGATTATTTATTCTCAATACTATATATTATTATAAGACTATAATATAGATATGCTAAACCACAGTTTAAGTTCAAAACTACGCATACATTTGAATAGGTACTCAGTGGTTTAACGTATACTGTATGTGTTTATTATACATATATGCTATCGTAATATTTCAATATACTTATGTAATTTTGGCAGCACGTGGTATCATCCGTTTATTGCACATACCTGCTATACACATTTCTCCTACCACCTCTGCTCGTTTTCTCGGTCTATACGTGCAATATAATATATATATAAGTCGCCGTTTTGTTTACGTTTTGCCGTCTCTTTGTGTGTGTTTATATGTACGTGTGTTTGTGTGTGTAATAATGAAGTGATCGGTCAAGGTCGGTGACCTATATAAAATTCACGGTCGGGTATGTGACGGTCAGGAGGGGTAAGGGGAGACAGGAGTCTGTCTGTCTCTCCCGGCGGCGGCGTCTGGCACCCTCTTCTCCTCCACTCAACCACAACCGTCGTCACCGTCGCACACTCCGCCACTACTGCCGAGACGACGATAATCCAAATAATTGAAAAGGAAAAAAAATACACACATGTAAATATTACTATCAAGATAATAATATTATTGTGTTTATAACATTATATATATAATATACTAATATAGACGTGTGGTATCGGTAGAAGGGAGAAACTGTGAATGAGTCACGTATATGTTATGTATTGTACGTTAACAACTTCCATCGTATATAATATAATATATATTCTTCGTTCAACCTACGTAATTGAGTATTAAGGTTATATATAATATATATATATACTGTATATTATTTTATATACCCAGGTACATAACCTCCGACACGTGTTGAACGCGTGCCGTTTTTCGAACTGTAAAATATAATATTATGTTTACATAACACCATAATATTTATTAAGCTTACTTATTATATAGTACAGTTTACTGTAAGTCATATGCTATTGTATTGTATTGTAACTTAGTCTCTATTTTGGTGTGTAGTGAGACAGTGTAAGAAAATAATTTATATATGCAAGTATTTACCTAATACCTCTACAAATTTATAAATGTATAGATTAAATAAACATAAATATGATCAAGTTTTCTAAAAATTGTTAATAATTTCACTAATCCGAGAGCCTCCACACACCACATTATAAAACATTGACTAATATTTGAAATAGACAATAGTGTGAGTGCAATTTGTTTTAGGGTATACTGAATTAAGTGTTATTAATATTATGTATTATATTCAAACAACATACTATAAATTAAAATAAATAATAATAATTGGTACACTTTACAACAACCACTTAGCCGTAATTCTATTTAATTATAGACATTTATATAAATCGGAATATCCAGACTTACAATTGAAGATATAGGTACATAATAATAGTAAAAGTGTAGTGCAAACGTGAAATTGACTAACACATATGGTATAAAGTTCATTAGTTCATATTCATTGGATACTCTATAATAATTAATAAGCACCTAATACTCATATATCTATACTATAAAAGGAAGTTCCGATTTTTCGTCACGCATACAAATCCATACCATTCAACGTATTGTCATCAAAATTTTTTACTATAATACCTGAAAGTCTGCTGAAGGTTTTAGTACCACTTTTGTTAATAAAAAATAAACATAAAATTCTTGAAAAATTAAAAAAAAACAAAGCTAATTTTTGGGGCCTCTAGGCGAGGTCTATTTATCTTTTTTTCATTTTTTTTTTTTTTTTACAGAGTTGTTTCAAATACCCTCCTGAGTGTCACTACATCGCCAGATTTTTAATTTTTTTGTCTGGCGGGGATAGGAAGAGGGTGTATTGTATTTAAATGTTCTAATTATGTATACAACAGTTTTACACTACAGTTAAATTGCTCTTCATACAAAAAAAAAGTTGCAAGATAGATAGACAGGATTTGTGGAGCCATAAGACAGCCCACAATTCGCAAACAACTATTCATGGGAGTGGACCACGCGGGTGACAGCTAGTATTAAATATTAGTAAATACTAAATACTAAATGTAGAGGCGATAGTACGTTTTGTGATTAAATTACATACAAATAATGAAAACAATAAAATTTGTATAATATATGTTAAGTATAAGTATAGAGTCTATACTTATACTATAAACACAGTAACTACACCTGCAGAGTGATTCATGATCCGCTTTGAAATGCCACAAAAAAAAAGAATAAAATAAAATTCAGTCCTAAAATATTAATTAATCTCGGATAATTTATTGAAAAAAATTAAATGTACAGTAGAAACTCGTTTAAAAGTCTCTGTTGGGACCGGAACAATGACGATTAATCGAATAGACGGTTAACAGTAAATTTTCAATAAACTTACATATTTTACAACGTCATTTACTAACAAAAATAATGTGTAATAAATAATAAATACTAATAATACATAATATTAATATGTAATAACATATACTTAAAAATACTAAACAAAATAATCCGTCATCATCTTCTGTTTTTTTTTTTTTTTTGAGTTACGAGCTTTTTAAGCGGCCATGTTTTATATTTTACAAAGGAGTAAGACTTGCATTACATTTGCCTCCTCTTGCACTTCAAACCGATCAAAGCATTTTGTTAACATTGCTTCTATTTCTGATTGGCTATTTGGGGTTTAAAGTCAAGCATTGAATTTTCAATGTCGTCACCATCTTCTTAAACGGCAGTGACATTAAAAATAATTTGGTCATCACTCAAAATTTCAAATCCTACACCTTGCTTATCACTTTCTAACCAATCTGTTACTTCTTTCATTAAAATATTTCACTGTTCAGTCCATTCCAAAGTTGTCGATTTCTTTTATACTATAAATAATATGCTTATACATTCATACACTTGGCCTAGATCTTGATTTCTTTAATGTAATATGTCTATTGTCTTTGTATAATAATGTATATCCAAGTGGCATGCTTAAGAATTTTTCATGGTAGGAGTCCGGTTAATATTTCCATCATAATACCGTAGGGGCTCCGATACAATTTATAAAAAAATAGTATAACGAGTATAAATTACATGTTAGTCATACCAATGTTAACTTTTTAAATTTTTTTGATTGTATAAACTATAAATTTATAGTAAATTACGTATATTACTAATGTTATGCAAAAATATAGTAAAAGAATCATAATATCTATGGAAAATTGTTAACGACAACTTTTTATTCTACAAATACATTTTTTTTTTTTCTATGAAAAGGTAATATAATAAGTAATCTTAATTTCGCGTAATTAGTAGTTATACTTAAATGTGAAACTTTTAAAGGAAATTAAATAACAACTGTATATTTTGTGAAGTCTACTCTCAAAATTGGTACCCTGGTTCATGCCTTCTTATTTTTCCTGAATACGGCTGAGATGGAAAGTAGATAACCGCTTTGCTATACAATAAACAGTCCAGTACATCTTTTTATCAAGTTACTGTAATGTATCATGTATGTGTTAAATTTGAATTAAATAATAAATCATGGCATAAGAAAAATAATTTTGAGAAAAGATAGTCTATTAGCCTATATTGCTAAGTACCTATATTTTATACTATTATAAAGTAAATAGATTGAATTAATTTTTTGCTAAAAAAATTATATTTATTATACTAAAATATTATTTAATTATTCTAATAGTTAAATAGTTTAAATATATATATTATATATTGATCTGAATTGATTTATGCGATACGATGCTAGTAAATATAGGCCATATATTTATGTACTTACCGGTATGAATATAGACTTGTAGTATAAATAGGAAATAGCATACAAAATTTATCAAAAAAAAAACCGCTAAATTTTTATGAAAGTTCATAAGGAGTCAATATTTTATTAAACAACAAAGTTGCTAGTTCATTGATGCATCCGTTTTTTATGCATCCTGGTAGATTATTCAAATTATTTACTCTCTACTACGAATAGTATAAAGTTACGTTAATATTTAAATTTAATTAATGAATTCAGGCGTGGATCTATAAATCTATATAATGGGAGGGGTGCACTTTCTTCCTAAAGACAAACAAAATAATTTTTAACATACCTATTTATTTGGCATATTTGATGATATATTTTTTAAATATTGAAAAATTTCAAAATAAAATATTATAATAATTTTATTTGTATTTTAAATTTGTAAATATTAACATGTATTATTATGTATTATGTATATATACCTCCGAAAAGAAGGAAACTTAGTTACTAAATCTTTTTGGGCTTAACCGTCCTGGATCTATGTTTGTGGGATGTAATATGTATACAAATTACACAGTCATATAGTATACTTCAGCAATTAAACTTAATAGTCTAAGGTTAGGTTAGTCTAAAATTTAGGTCTAAATCTATATGGAGTTATTTTATCAGTCACTTACAAAGCCAGTTAGAAAATAACTAAATAATTGGTATATGACTTTATATAAGTCTACTACTTAATGTTAAATAATGTTATTAGGAGTACTTACATACGTAGTTTTAGGTACCACATAAAATAGACAATAGTTTACTTTTATAGGTATGTATAGCTGTTCACCAGTAGATACCTGTATGTGTACATAGTCGCATATCTATTGTAATATACTAAATTCGAAATAATTATCATACCTAATGGTTGTTAATATAATTTAATATACCTAATAATATGGCATTACTAAATAGGTAATGATAGATATAATAATTACTTATACCAATTATAAATCCGTTATAAATAGATTCATATTTCAATCAATTAATATAGTCAAGTTCAAAAATAAAATTTAAAATCAAAACAATAACCATAAATTTGAAAAATTATCACGACTAATAAGATATTATGTTAAGGAAAATAGAAGATTTATTATGATAACATTTTTATGAAAAAACATAGAAAAATTAAAAACTACAGATGAGTTAGTTCTTTAGATTCGTATTATATGTATTATGTCAGCGGATATTAAGCATGACGCCATACTGACTACAAAGTCCGTTAAATCAAAACGATAATTTAATGCATAATATGGTATAATATAATCCGTGCCTATAACACAATAATGTGTATTAATGTATTATATATATTATACTATGCATACATATTATCTATTACTTATAATAACTGTATACCTACAATATTTTTTTATGTTGAACACAATAAATAAATTATAAAAAAATTTGCATTATGCTATACAATATGCACAAAAATTTAATCTTGATTTTTTTTAAATAAAAAGTGACATAATATTTTGTTATTAGCAAGTTTTAAATAAAGTAGCAAGCTGGACAAAAAGGTCTGGCAAGCCGCCAGTTGGCCATCTCTGATTTAAGATAATATCTTTTCTAAACTGTAATCGTCTAAAATATTCAGGACGGAGCCACCATGTTTTCCCATTTTTTTGGCGATAGACGATAATTTTATCATAAAAAAAAATAAAAACAATTGCTTATAATTTGCAATTACTCTGTATAAAATGAAATTTAAATTATAATAACTTTTATTTTATATTAGTTTATATATTTTGTATTAATCTAACGTTTGTGTTCAATTATATTTTTTCTGTTTTATTAGATAAGTATTTAAAAATACAAACAGCTAACAGATTTATGATGGATAAATAGTACTGAAGTATTATATATCAATATATACATCATATAATTTATTTATTATTATTTTTAATACAAATAAATGTAGTTTTTATATTCTTATAATAGATTAATACTTTTAAATAAAAATGTTTCGGTTTTACTGTTTGAGATACCCTGAATATTTGAACTAGTTCCTGAAAATCTCCCTTATTGTATAAAGAGCACACATGTATCAAATATGTACCCAATACGGAAATAGACCCTTGCCCTTCTGGTAATGAATTCACGGTCATTATATTTATATATTGCATTGTCAAGAAGAAAATAATATAAACAAAAAGTCATTTTAAACAATTTAAACAAAAACTATTGATAACGATAAGAATTTTATCGAAAATTAAATTTTAAATAATATTATCTTACAAAAAAAAAAAGATAATTATCTAAAAAAGTATTTTCAAGAAAAAATGTTATACTAATAACAGTAATAACACCAGAATATTACATTATTACAATATTATTTCGCTCAAGATTAATATGCTCAATTATACCTGCATATTATTGTACATTTGTACATTATAATTATGTTATGATGTAATATATTAGTCTGTCGTACCTTGTAGGCCCTTAAATGTGAATTGCGAAGTGCGGACTACACAACATTTAATCCTTTGAGCATTAAGTGTCAACATATTTAGCGTATTTAACGTATATCTAAATATACATAATATCTTTTAATATTTATTTACTAGTGTCCATAAGTATCTATAATTGATTTGAACACTGTTAAAACTTTAAATAATTTAATTTTTATTAAACGTAACACCTAATTGACGATATTTCTTGTATTCAACATTTGTAACAACATATTAACACAGTGTCTAGCAAAATTTAAAATTTAAAATTAGTTATAATTTATAAACTTAAAATATACTTATACACCACTCGGCTTTCTAATTTCATTATAGACACGTATATTAATCAGTATATCATATGATAAATAATATAATCGATTATCAGTATAATACCAGCTAACAGTCAGATAAAATAGCTAAACTGAATTTTTTCAAATTTCAAACTATGTTGGTATAAATGGTTAGTAAATATCAGATTTATAATAGGTTTAAGTGTATAACATAAGTTACATAAGTTATTATATTATTATGCTACATCAATAGGTAAAATGTTAAAATACAATTATTTTTAGAACAAAAATTACTTAAAATAAAATAATTCATTTATATTTTTGTATTTCTTAATTAGAATCAGTCTTGCTTTTTTATGTTTTAATAAATGTAATATAGGTACCTAATTTTATATGACTAAAATAATATGCTTACCTACATATTAACATATTATACATGTAAATATTTAATATTTTTAAAAGTGTATTTAAATTGGTTTTTTGAATAAAATACTTTTTTTTTAAATTTTTGTTTAGATTTAACAATTAAGTGCAATATTTATTGATGGAGTAACACATTTTCGCTGCATAGAATCATTACTTGGCTCATTTTCATCAAGCGTATCACGAATATATTAATCGTTAATCCATTGATGACAATTTTACACAATATTATGATATATTTTCGTGTTTTATCTTATGAGTGACACTTATACAATTTATATTTGCATAAATCAATCTATGGATAAATTTTTTATACTATACAAAATTTAAATATTTTACTATTATAAAATTAAAAAATATATAATATACAAAAATTATTATAAATCTAATCAAAAAATCTAGAAGTATTTAAGACAATGGTTATTCAAAATCTTAAAAATAACGTTCCAAACTAGGTATACACTAATGTAGCATCGTTTTGAGAACCCCTCATGGCAGACATACGGATAAGTAAACGAGGGAATAATTTTGCAATTTATCACGAAATACCGGGGAGCCAAGCATATAATTTATCATTTATCCGTAAAATATATCCCGGTTCAGTCGTACAGCCCCTGGACATAGAGACATAGATACCAATGGACCATGATATTTCAATAGAAATCAGAACGGCAAGAAATACTCGAATTCTAGAGAAGTCGGGGTTTGAGAAGAGTAGGTGGCAACGATTGTGTTCTATAGAAATAACAATATTATACGTAAGTATTCCAAGTTGTAACTATTATTATGATTATAATATAATATAATATCATTATTTTAGTTGAGTTGCACGAGAATAATATAAAACCCGAACAGAGCAAACGGAGGCCGTGGCTCATGTAATATAGCCGACCAACCGACGGCGGTAACGAGCGACAGCCGACGAGCGTGGTGGCGTCGTCTTTCCCCTATATTGCGGCGCACAAAGGACCCCGCGCTCTGTGTCTGCCCATCGACGCCGCCGATAACCGTCACTCCCACCAAACACGGCGGCGGCGGAGGTCATTTGATACGGTGTGTGTGTATGTGTTTTTGTCCCCTTCACCACGCCGCCATCGTTCGCGTTCCAACAGCACACCGTCGTCGCCGCCGCGACCGTACTACCACTACCACGCCGCCACCGCACCACCACCGGATTTTGGGGCCCCCGACTCAGCCGCGCGTTCGTGTCGGTTGCCGCCGCCGACGACGTCGTTTGCCCACCAGTGTTCCCGTCGTATTGAACCGCTTATACCGCGGCGCAGCACAGAAACACCGCATACACCTAACACACACGCGGGCGCGATAATAAACGTTCTTTTATAATAATAGTATGTATATTATGATAATATTAATTTAATATTTTAATTCGGTATACATATTATTTATTGTATTCTTGCACGAGCGTATTTTTCGCTTCGTTTTTGAATTCCCCTCCGCTAATCGACTCGTGTCAGTAACTGAATCAGCAAACTGATTCAGACGGGGCCACATAGTGTTTTTACTAGACAGTCCATATAGTATTTATTTTTCCGCACAAAATCTGTCTTCGTACTAAGAATACAATATTATGTGAACTTGGCGTAAGTCTGTAACAAAGGAGACCCCACAAGTCGACAGAAGAAGAATAAAACAGATCAAGAGGAACCGTCGATTACTGATTTCAAACGGCCGTCGTCGTTATACACATTAGTAGCCGCAGTCAAAGTAGACGCACGAAATTTTTGTCAACGTTACTGTTTCGCAGACGATACATCTAATATGGACACTGCTACGTTTTTCGTTGAGGGCACTGCCAATCAATTCGAGCACGTACTCTCACTCTACCCGCAAGCGTTGCGCCTCAAAGCCGAGACCAAAACGAAAAAGCCCGAAGACCTCATCAAGCTGGACAATTGGTGAGTGCCCCCTCTCTCTCATGATAAAATACATAAATGTATTTTACTATGTATTATATATTACGTGTATTATAACTAGATATCATATTTATTTTATAATGTGGTTTTTCACGCGCGTGCGTACATTATATTATTTTGATTTTTGACGTGTGGTCGGTGGAGGTTTCGCAACGCGCACATTCGACGCGCTCTGTATAACCTGCGGCGGCGGTCGGTTAGGTTGGCAAGGCGGTCGGTCGGTCGCCCCGCCGCCGCTGCGTACCCAATCGAGAGGCCGTGATGACGTTAACGATTTCTTTGTGGAGAAAACGCGCACCGTTGCGCGTTGTGTTCGTACATCGTACAACGCACAAAACGTATATAACATAGTAATAATAATAATGCAATACAGATGTATAAACGCTCAACGATTCGATTATAACATGGCAATGAGTAATAACGATCTCTCGTACTCGTAAACATTATTGCTGTACACCTCGTGCTTATGACAATTGATGCCATTCATCATCCCCACAGACGGTTATCTTGTCGCCGGTCCTGGTCGTATTTTATGACTACGCGATTTGTAATATTGCTTTAAAAAAACTTTAAATATGATAATGACACTCTGTACAGGATGTTCGCCATGTCAACAACCGATATGTTAGCATCCACACACGATTTATGCATACTATTTATACATACCCTGGCCATATTATATTCTGATTTCTGGTCAAGACGATAGTAATTATTGTTCATTTTTTATTCGATCTACTTAGGGCGAACATATGTACAAACAGTTAAAACACTGAACAGTAATATTTGTATAAATAAATAAAATTATAACCCATTATTTAACCTAACCTTACCGCTCAGCAATACTACGTAATCTAGACAATGGAAGCTAAATTTAACTGATGCAACAAACTCTAATGAAAATAATTTATATTATTTTAACTAGTATTTCTGAGGTTTTCTTTAATCCATATTATTTAAATCCATTAAACATAGATTATGCATTTCTGTTTATTAAATATTGTTAGTAAATGAATAATGAATAATGTATTATCAATAAATAGTGATAAGAAAAAAATATTTGTGCTGATCTCAATAGTCAATTCATCAAATTCATTCATTGTTCTTAAGATAAGAATGATTTAGTTTCAATAGCAATAGATGAATAGTTAAAAAAAGATAAATATAAAATATAAATAGTATTATATTTACAAATAGAAATTTTAATTATGTTATACGTATTTACCACTTTTTAAGGTTCCTATAAATTTATCCACAAAATATTAAGGACCTTATAAAATTAGTTATTTAATAATGTTTATTTTGTACTTACTGTATAGAAATTGGTAATAATTAATATAATGCTATACCAGACTAAACAGTTAACAGTATGTTTTTTAGTGTTGTAACATGTTTTAAAAATTCTTTATTTTAATATTTTTAAATTATTCTTTTGTAGGTATCAGAATGAATTACCTGGAAAAATTAAGTCTAGGGGAAAAGACGCACATTTAAATCACGAAGAAATTTGTCAAATAATGAAATGGAAGCAAACAGTAAACTTGAATTTTTTATGACTAGTATTAATTGAATAATTACTTACAATAATTTTCTGTTGTAGAGAGGAAAAACATTTCCTCAATTGAATTACTTAATTAAAGTGAACACACCACGTGCTGTTATGGCTGAGACAAAGAAAGCTTTCAAAAAATTACCCAATTTAGGACTTGCACTTACAGCGTTAAGTAATTTGAAAGGTGTTGGAACCACAATGGCCTCAGGTATACATAAATATTTTTTAATATTTAATTTTTCGAATGAAATTGCAATTTGATTTTAATATTTATTATTCTTATTATTTATTTTTTTAGCTTTGTTAGCAGCTGCTGCACCAGACAAAGCTCCTTTTATGGCTGACGAATGTCTAAAAGCAATTCCAGCTATTGAAGGAATTGATTATACTGCTAAAGAATATTTGAACTTTGTAGCTCATATTCAGAACACAGTGGAAAGACTTAATAGTGAATGTAAGTTAAGATTTTTATCTGTTATAGATTTTGATAATTTATATTTCTAATAATAGCTTTATTAAATGTTGTCGTTATCATAATTTTGCTGTAGGTAGTGAAAATACATGGAATCCACATTCAGTAGAATTAGCATTGTGGACACATTATGTGGCAAATGAATTCAAACCTGAACTTTTAAATAGTGTTCCAGAAGCACCTAAGAAGCCAATTAGTGAACAAACTAATACCGATGCTCATACTAATGGCAATGTTAATCAAACAAAGGTTTTTATTGCTTTGTATTTTCAGTACTCAGTTATTTTATTTTATTTATATTTTATTACAGTTAGATGAACCAACATCTGATGAAAGTAATCCTGAGCCATTACCACCATCCAATGGTCATCAATTAACAATTGAAGATGATTCTCGTGATAAATCTGAAGATGATATCACCAATGACTCTATAACAACATCAGAATCAGCTCAAACTCCACTTGCTGAAGCTTTAACAGAGGACTCATCTAGTTTGCCTGCCCCTGATGAACCCCCTGTAAAAAAATTCAAAAATGAAGGCCAGACAGTGGCTGCAGAAGCCAATGGCAACTAAATTGGTTAAATGGTTTTAATTATGCCAAATGGACCACCATAGGTTTATAATTTTAGTGACGAGTTAATATTGGAGAAAATATTGTTTGAAACAAAATAAATTGATAAAAAAAAACTCCATATTTATCAGACTTAATGATGTAATTATAACTTACAGTTATATAATTTTATTTACATATAAAATATTTCACCATTTAAAAATGGGCAACAATTTAATTTATTTTAACTCATACATGAAAACTCGTAAATATATTTTTTTTATACTTAGATTTTATACAACAAAATAAATTAAGTCTGTAATATTCTAATTTGTTTTATTCAACTTAGTAATTTCATGATTGAAATATTTGACTGTAAATACAATTAATTATAATTATTTATGTTTAAGATTTACGGGATAGAGGGATGTCTGAATATTATGAAATAATAATAAAAGTGCACCTTAGGAAGTAATTTTTTCCAAGAATTGTCATAATTAATTGAAAATTTTGATTTATAAGGGGGGGTCAAGAAAAACTTGCATTCAAAATCATAAAAACATTTTAAATATATACATATATTTATAATGGACGTATGTATATAAATATGTAGTATTAATGTATCGGATCTGCACCATTTTTATTGAAATAAATTAACGACAAGGTTAATTTATGTACTTAAATAAGAAAACTGCCTTTTAGCAATTTTTTATGTTTTATTTACTTATATATATATATATATATATATAATTTTTTTTTTAATGGTACAAATAATTATTTACATTCCGTTGATTTGAAACTAATTTTTTTTTTTTTACTGTAGACTGGGGAAAATCACTAATGATAATAATTGTATCTTTATGATTTTTTTTTTTAGTAACAATTTGTAACATTTTTACTTTTAATGTAAAATCTTATAGTTTTTGGTATTTTTTGTTTTAAAAAACGGTACATTATTAATATATTAAATATTATTTATAACGCAGCATGATTATTTTGTGTGTATGTATGCATATGTATGCATATATTCCAGTAAGTTTGTCTTAACATAAACTATGTAATACATAAATATAATTTGCCTTTATGATTGGTAATTTTAATATCAACTGTGATGTGTTAACCTACTCAAAATCTAATTGATTGGTTTATTATAATAGCTGATCTAGAAAATATTGTTTATTTTGATATAATACTTACATATGTAGTCAACATGTCATTCTTCGGTAAGTTGATTATTCACTCTTAAGTTAATAACAATAATATATGATATAAATATATATTATTATGTATAATAATTAATATAATAAGTGCAATGTTTTTGGTAATAATTAATTTAACCTAGTGTACGAATAATAGTAAAATAAATTACTATAATGAAGCAATATAAATGTATAATCACATATACTTAATAATGTGGCAATGTATGTAATAATTTACGAGTCAATTTAAATTTAACAAATCAATTATTGCAGTTATTCAACTCGTCTATTGTTCAGCAAAATGGTTACTTATTTGCACAATTTTTTACTTTTTCTGTTATGTGTTTTAATTGACTGTTAACTATACCAGTGGTCTTCAACCGGTGGGTCGCGACCCATTTTTGGGTCGCATAAGCCTTAAAATTGGGCCGCGACAAGTCTTTTTTTTTTAAATAAAAATTAGATTTATAAAATTATATAAGGTAAAAAAATAATAATATTATATTATAATCATAATGGATATCAAGTATAATATTTCATATTACACTGGTATGATTCTATATAAGCAATTTGTTCTTTTTTATCAGGCTTACATGGGTCGCGAAAAATAAAGGCCTAAAAGAGTGGGTCGCGAGTCCAAAAAGGTTTAAGACCACTTAACTATAATAAGCAAAATGTAATTTGAATGATTCTTATAATTATTCTGTTAATTATCTGGAAATTATTGATGATCATCATTCATCGCTATAAAGTGATAGTGTCGCTAATATTATAACATATTAAACAATATGTATTCATTATTCAACAATGTATTAGTCAATTATTGGTGAAATAAAGTAAACGAATATAATAATTAAGAAATGGACAGTAGGTATAGTGATAAAATTGTCCCTCTCTGTAAGAAAATATTGTTTACCATGTTTTGTATGAAAACATTCACAATTTAACATAATACCATACAACATTTAAAAAATAAATAAATAACAGATAATATAAATAATATGTTGACTACATAGTAATGATTGTGTGATAGGCATAGGTCTTCTTTTCAGTTTATATATCTAGAGAGTTCAGTCTTTACATTGCGTCGTATTTTTATTTTATTAATTCTTCTATTTCTCCTTAAAGTTGCCGAATGTATTCATCGACAGTGTTTGTTACAGTTTACTTGTCTTACCCGCAGTTATATTCTGGTAAGGATCTTAGCCCATTCGGAGTCTATTTAATACTTCCTCAGTCCGTTCTCGAGAGGACAAAACCCGACACTCTTGTAGGGTTATCAATTAGGGGGACCGGTCCAATGTGTGATCTACCGATAAACTGCTATTTACGATAAAGCGTTATAGGTAGAACGTGTGATCTACTGAAAACATATCTATATTTTATATTATAGTGCTATACCTATATATATAATTATCGATATGATATGGATTTTACGACTGTATTGTATTTCTAAAATACATCATTTAAACATTCCGTTACCATTTAGCGTTCATTTGTGTCATTTCGTTTGTTGGTCAATTTTTTCAATTTTTTTTCATAACTAGTTTTGTAACGATTTAAATTTTAAAATGAATTCTATTACAACAATGGGTTATTTATTTAAAAATATAATTTTTGATGAATTGAAATTGAGCTCATACTCAAACAATAGAGTCGTTATGGAAGTTAGTCAAGTCTAAGAATAATATTAAAGTTAATGGTGCATCTCCACTATTAGACGACCAACTTAAAGAAGGATGGTGACGGTCATGCCATCCGGTACAAACTCAAATATTTGATGATTTTTTTATCAGATTTAAAAAATACTTTTGCAGTATTGACATAATATATAATTAATAGTTAATCACACATTGGACCAGCCATTTATTGGTAGATCACACATTGGACCAGCCGTTTATCAGTAGATCACACATTGGACTGGTCCCCAATTAGGTTTAGTTTATCAGGACTCAGGACTGCTGTTTTTCATTCATTATTCTACTTCATGTTAATATTGAATTTTTCTGAGATTAAATTTTGGGCGAGCCTCCAAGTAGGTTTCCTAGGTATTAGTCTTGCGTTAAAGCCAGTATTTTTATCGTTATGTATTGGGTACACGGTCATCAAAAAGCATTTGGTCCACTTTCATACTAGTGAGTTGCATCGATCACATCGATGTAAAATGTAAATTAGATGAACTTAAGTTACTAAATACAAGCAGTCGTTCTGTGGGAGTATATTTATCGCTCCGATGATAATTCTCATAGCAGAGTTAAGTTGATTATTTACTTATACTTTATAGATTATAGTGTTATGAAAAAATAATATTTATAATACAAGAATATGACAGATGATTGGAAATTGGAACTATAATATATATTTATTAATTTTTTTTTTTTTTTTTTGTTATAAAATTTTTTTATTATACTATCTATTAAACAGTTTACAATAAACATAAGTGATATAATTTTTTTTTTTTTTTATATTTGTTGAGGGCTATTTAGACATTTAGAGTACTCATATGACTAATTATAAGTGGCGCCCAGGGCCGGAACTACTATGGGGCAACCGGGGCCTCTGACAGAGAACAAAATAAAATCCGTTTTACGATCATCTTTGATCGATTTTTTAAAACGAAGAAAAAAATTACAAAAGTTACTAGAATTGAAGTTTATAGACGTCCATGAGATAAATTGATAAGTGAGTGATTTTTCTTTTAATATGTTGAGAAACAAATAAAACCACAAAATTGTGGCTCGTTATGAATAAATATGATATAAATAGGTATATAAATGTTAATTTAATTTTTTTTAAAGATCTATCTATGCATTGAAAATTATTGATAAAAAAGGCCCCAAAGTCAGTTCTGCCTCAGGACTCCTGAAGTCCGAGTTTTAGCCCTGGTGGCGTCATTTGAGGGGTGTAATTGTGTAAAGGTGAACATTCATTTGATTTCAAAAATAACCTAATGGGTTAATTAATGCTTTATTGATGAAAAACCACCGTTTTTATAGTTTTGAAGAAATTTACATTGTGGCACTTATAGGAAATTATACTGTCACAATAATAATTAATATCTATATCTAGCTTAAAGTTTTCATGTAGGTAATACACGTAGCCACGTAGGTATGATTTAGTGTAAGTGGTGTGTGGTCGTATGAGTGTATCTGTTATTCTGTTATGTAAACGAACATAATATGTGGGTCATGGGAACGTGTACAAAAGCAATAATAATAATATTAGGTATATTATACCTAACCTTTTGATTTATTTATTGTCGGGCTTTGTCGGTTATTAATAAATAAATAATGTTATAAAATAGTAAATTTTATATTTTTTGCATTCTAACAGTTGTCTGATGTGTTAACTTCTAGAATAAAAAAATCTAAAAACATAACAATCATTAAATGTATTTGCTTTTTAAACAAAAATCACATATGAGTTACAACTGATAATATTTTATATTTTTAATTTTTTCAGTACCATTTGGAATTTACCAGTCATATTTAGTATTATAACTTAATTTGTTAGACTTCTCTATGAAAAAATATAAATTGTAAAAAACGCCACTAAGGTAGGTATTAATTTTTAACTTTTTGAATATTAAAGAATGAAAGTAAATAGACATTTCTTCGAAAATGTTTTAAATTATAGTAACAAATTGAAAGGGTTTGAGCAAATTATATTTTTAATTGAATATTGAATAATTAATTATTGCATCATTTATTTATTTTTATAGATTAGAATGAAGAGCTTTGTTGGAGATAAGTCACGGGTTTTTGATAAATGGTGTGACTTGATTTAGTCATTTCAGCTATTTCAGGCATAAAGTTAAAAAGTTTAGTTATGATTCACGTAAAAAATCGCGCTATAAAATAGTAAGATATTAAAAGTATAGTGGCGACTACACTGGTATTCAAACGAGATAATAGATTGTAGTATCAACTATCAACGTCTACGTGTGAAAGTTATAAAACATTGATAAGTTGAAATATCGTAATCCAAATATAATATTCTAACAACTTATTTCCAAGCTAAAAACTTCGTTGTTCAACAACTAATACTCGAAAAAAAATGTATTCTGTTTAGTGATAATTATAAATATTATTTAAATAGTTTGTTGTTTTGCTTCATAGTATTGTATTATTATTAATGTAATACATTCAAAAACTTTATAATTTACTTTGTAGAGCTTTTTTTTTTGTAAATTAGAAAATGAAATTCGACATTTTATCACTTATTTAGTTTCAGATGTTTCATTATATTTTCTACAATATTATCGTAACTTAATCATCTTTTACGTGTACAGATTAATTTCAATTTGCTAAATATGTTCCTTAAACATTTTTTTTTATTATTGATATTTATCTATTGTGGTTTACTCATTGATCTAATTAACAGTCAAACATTAGAAGTGGTTACTGACAATGAGCTCTTAGATTTATGCCGTTCTGAAAACCAAGTAGTTGCCTTATTTAGTATGTATTTGATTATTACCTTTTTACTCAGTTTACAAGTTGTAATTATTAATTTTTTAATTTATTTATATTTAAGCATTAAAAGACTGTGAAAAGTGTAAAAAGTATGAAGAAACTCTCACTCAAATTAGAGAAGAACTTGTTGATTCATTAAATGCTTGGGTTGTAAAAGTAGAAGGTAGCAATTTAGTTCACATTTATAATCCTTCAAAAGAACCAACATTGGTTATGTTTCGACATGGTGTACCATTACTAGTACCAGAGCCAGGTAACTATAAAATATTTTAATTTAATGTCTTATGAAATTATATTACATTTTTTCATATTCTAGAGGCTGTTAACGATGAGTTTTTGATAGACATGTTATTGAATAACAGAGATCCTATTGTGAAAGAACTAAATGATAATAGTTTTGAACATCTTACTCAGGCATCGACAGGAGCCACAACAGGAGATTGGTTTATTAAATTGTAAGTATAATTAATTATAGGACCAGAACTAAATGATATTTACACATGGGCAAAATTCAAATTTGGGTAACTTTTATACCTATAATGTACTTGGGCTTTAATCTGACTATATGTCCACTTCTGTTTCTAATCATAGTATATAACATACTAAATAACATCACTTATTTTAATTTGAAGGATAAAATCTGACTTAGTTAGGAAAAAAATTGAATATGTTATTTTTTTTATTTAAATATTTCTAATTCATGTGAAATAATTTTTTCTTAAACTCAGTTCCTAATCTTAGATGAAATTAATTTTTTTTTTTTTTTGCTATAATTTTAATAATAAATATAAATACGAATAATTAATAAACAATACTTATTACCAGGGCTCAGAAGTTCATACCCTAAAAAAAACCTGAATAAGCCTTAATAAGTTTAAATGTATATTATTTATATGCACTAAAAATCTAAAATTATGCATTTAAAATATGCGCATTAAAAAAATAGGCTTAAGACGATTTTTCTTTTGGCATGATACAAAAATGAAGTTATTTAAATATATAAAAAAATTTAATGAAACGAAAAGAATCAATATATATGCACACACGTCACACATTTACTACAATAACTGAAACAGTTACAGTTAATAAGTATCAAGTAGATAAGACAATTTCTATTTTTAATTCTATACATTTTTTTCATTAAATTGTATAATGCGTACCCAAAATTCTGACAACCAAATAAAGATTACTACTAGCATTTTATTTTTAATCATTTTATGTTGCAACCAAATTCCCATAGTATTTTTCTTTTTTCATCATAATATGATAAAAATATCAAAATTTTGAATACTATGCCTGATAAAATAGCAAAACGTTTAAACATGCCAATTAGGCAAAAAACCTCTAAATATGCAAAAATATGGAAAATAAAACTTTACATATATAACTGTAATACTTTGAAATAAATTTTTATATTATCTAGCATTAAATAAAACTTAGCAAAATTGATATGCAATTGCACAAACTTTTGAGCCCTGCTTATTACATAGCTCATTATATTTTAAATTATTTTTACAGAATTTTTTCTCTATCATATTTATTTGATGTATTTGAAAAAAAATGTGGGTATAAATAAAAAGTATTTTTCAAAATAGCCCCGTTTATTGTCTTAGTTTTAAATTGTATATCTTATTAAATATATTATTATCTAATCATAAACATACTACATGCAAAATAAAAAATGAATTCTGCCCTAGGCAGTGGCGGCGGGATATAGGATTATTTGAAGCAATTGCTTCATGTTTGAAAGCTCTTTGGCCACTGCTACTTATTAAGGGTGGTGGTAAAAATATTTAAAATATACAATATGCTTCAAAGCCTCCACAATTTCGCGCCGCCACTGGCCCTAGGCATAGACTTGTGTTACCTTTACCTTGTGCTGGTCCTGATTAGCTAATAAACTAAATTAAGGCTGAAAATTGGTGTTGTTTTTTTTTTTTTGTATACAATAGTCAAGGGATGAATCAATTTTAAAGTTATCCAATTCATTGATTTACCCATTTTCTGTTTCTATTTTGTTTTTAGTTATTCATCAGATAGTATAGAATGTCAAAGATTACAAGCTCGCTGGGAAACAGTTGGTGCTAAATTGAAAAATCGTGTAAATGTTGCTCGTATCAATAGGTACATTGGGGGATCAATTACTGCTCGTCGATTTGCTATTAGCCAATCACCTACTTTTATTTTGTACGTTAAAAAATGTCATTTGCTTTTATAATATACATTCTTTTAAAGAATAGGATAGTTAAACTTTTATTTTATCATTAGATTGCGTCGTGGTGTCATGTATACTTATACGTCAACTGATTATACTATTGAATCGTTCCTCAAATTTGTTGAAGAAGATTATAAATTCACTGTCAAAGAACAAGTACCTCAACCAAAATCAACATTGTAAGTGTATTACAAAATATTTATTATATTTTAAAAATCATTACACACTAAAATTTTAAATGCATAAAATACAATATTTTTTTTCAGTGATGATTTTGTACACATGTGCTTTGATGTGTTCAGGGAAAATCCATTGGCGTGGAAGTTAGGCTTGACTGTTTTAAGTGTAATATTACTGTGTCTTGCTGCTCTGAAGAAAACATCTAAGTCAAGTGAATACAAGTCAAAAAAAAAGTCTACTAAAAGTTCCAGTAAAAAAAGCAAGTAAATAAGTATAATAAAGTAAAATATATGCATTTTAAGTTTAACTTAAATATTTTCAATAAATCTTTCATAAAATAAATACATGTACAATTATTTTTTTCATTTTTGTTATTATTTGAATGTCTTATGTTTAAAATATAAAACTATGCACTGTATTTTTTTATTTTTTTATTACTTTATTATAATCTCTACGATCCTGATATAACATCATTGTTCAACATATCCTGTTATCCTGTTTTTTGTTTAAAATATGAAAAGGTTAATGTTACATTTCCATTAAGTGTCTATTAGTTATTTTCTAATAAAATTTCATGATGTTGGCTCTAGGCTCTCACTACTAATAAATATATTATGTAATCAAAATTGCAAACTGAAATAAAATTTTTTAGTTTAAAAAATACTCTAAATTATGGTATCAATAAATATAAAATTTGTATAAAACATACTAAATTAAAAAATAAAATAACCCTGAAATTAAAAAAGTATAAATAAAATTTACAGATTCAAAGAAAATTTATGACGTAAAAATGTAATATATATTTTATCATCTCTTTTTAAAATAATTATTTTTAAATACCATTACACCAAAGTGAAACTCCATGTACCACTAAATGTTCTTCAATTAGTAAAATATCCAAAATTATTAATATTTTAATAATTATTAAAATAATTTAATTTATAATTTTTAATATAATATTAATAATTCTTGATATTAAAATAATATTGTTTTACTTAATATTATAAAAATTATTTCTCCCCCCCCCCCCCCCCCCAAAAAAAAAAAAATTCTTTGTGAACCATTTTAATTTATAAAACATACAATAAATCATTCATATTTTAAAGTCTAGTAAGAATATGGGGTGGTTCATTTAACTTAAATAAAAGATACTCTTGATTCTATAAAATAAAAACGTTTTTTGAAAATATTTCTTTCTCATAATTATAAGTCACAATAAAACCACATTTTTGAAAAATGATTATATTTTTACTAATTTTTTTTTATTGTCATAGTTTTTTAAGTTTTCTACGCTTTTGTTTGAAAACATTTATTTTTAAGTAGAATATTATTCGGAGTATTTCAATCTATATATTTCAAATTTTGGATTAGTAGCTGATTAATTATTATACATACTTAAAGTTTAGATGAGTGGAATAGTGAACAAACATTTAAAAAAAATCTTAAACAGATGTGTTTTGCATACATAAAAAAAAAGAAGGATTAGTGCATTTAGATTAATATTTATAATTATACTTCCAAGTCTTAGATATTGTGTGAACGGGGGTTAATATAGACTATTAATGAGTGAATTACCTAGAAAGCGAAATGTTTATAATTATATCGAAGATAAGTAATGGAAAGCTATTAAGTCACAGACTCCTCCCGTTCGGGCATTACAGCAGAGGATGCTTACCAAACCACTTGCCGTTATTATTACGGTGACTGTCAACATTTCGTCGTAACTCGTAACTATTCCCTTTCACTGATTCCAGTTGTTTTGTACACTGTGTTAGAAGTATGTTTGTTTTAGCTTATGGGCTACAGAAAAATATCTAGTAATTTGACTAGTGCAGGTTGATCATTGATCAAATGTGTTCTACTGAAATATTAAGCCATTCAAGTTGTGTGATTCTCGCGATCTACTTATTATAAAAGTTTAAGATCAACAAAGTCAGGGTAAGTTAAAATTTAATAAATAAACTATAACAATTATTTTATATTATTATTTATAATAGTTTTTAATATATATTATTTTATAAATTAAACTAGTATTGAAAGACTTCAACATTTAAAATTGAAGTTTTTCACAAGGGTTGTTCAAAAATAATGAAAAAAAAAAGAGTACATGGGTAAATGCAATTACGTAACCTATTTAGGTTGTTCTATTCGAGAATTGTAGCATAACCACACAGGATATTAGACAAAATTTATTTCATGTATTATTTGTGTTACAGTATTAATTACCAATGCTCGAATTGGTAAATTAAAGAATGGGAACTTAAATAGAAATTTAAAAAAAAACAGTGTTCCATTTATTTAACTTTTCACCCCTCACCTCCTTAATTAATATCATCATATTTTAAATTAAATAAATCTTAATGTATATTATTTTTGACTAAATGTTAATATGTTTACACTTGAAAATGTAGTATGGGAGCGCTAATTAATATCAAAAGCTAGTTTAAGAGCTGAGTTTCCATGCATAACCTTCCAATTTGAGCGCTAATTACCATATGATAATACAGTATCAAAGATATTTTTAATAGTTAAATATCATACTTTTACATAATATTTCTGTAAATTAAAAATAAAATCTGTAAATAACAGTTATTTCACTAAAAAAAATATTTAAAATGTATAAATATGTTCACAAGCGTGCAGTATCACAGAATTTTAATTCTAATATCTTTTAATAAAGATTTGTTTGAAGATCATTAATTTGTTAAATTAGACAAAGAATTAGGGAAAAAATTAATTTAAGCCTATAGCATCAAAAACCAATTAATTACATACTAATAATGTACTCTTAAAATATTTTAAAGATAATATTATGTATTTAACTATTTATATCTTATTTCGTGTTTTATATGTAAAAGTAGTGTTAATATAGTTTAAGAGGTTGAACGTTTTTAAAAAAAATATTTAAGTTGGAACTTACCAGTTGAAATATATTTGATGAAATATTTAGGTACCTACCTAACATAAACAGTAGATTTCATAAAATTATAAAAGTAATTCGTATTTTAACAAAAGTTAATACTGCTATGATATTAGAAATCTTATTTATGACTTATCATGAAATTATTGGGTTTTGAAGAACAAAGGATAACATACACATTTTGAGTGATTTACTCGAATTTTCAAATTGTAGAATTAGATGTTTATAATAGCATTGTATTATTGTAAGTATATATTTTTACAAAAGTATGTTAAATGCAGGTGGGTACTTCTTATTATCCACCCAACTACAAATATGAAACGGGTTTTGTAAGAGGGAATTACAATGCAAGGACTAGGTACACTCTTACAACCTAGGTACCTATAGTTTCTAGCTTATCGGAAACAAAATGTCTACAGAGCTATCTGTCCATCCCTATTTGGACGAGCTAATATAATATTATCAAATTCCATAATCAATTTTATTCAATACATAACAAACATATTGTGTTTATTTTTGATGTTTAATATTTTTTAATCTGTATATATAATGTATCAACTAGCAAAATATTTTATTTACTTATTTATACAGCAACCTACTATTAAAAATAATGTAACAGTGACTTGCAGATACAGTGATACGCAGTTATTAAACAATTTTCATAATATAAACGATTTATAAGAATGAATGTGACGAATACGTTCGTTTTGATTTATATTTAGGGATGATATCAAATTTTAAAATATTAATAAAAAAAATTTAGTAGCACCTACACCCTCTAAAATTAGTGTTTATGATATATTTATTGTTTGTAAATGTATGCAACATTTATCTAAATAATATTTAACACATTATTCGAAAATTTAATTTAATAGTTTATTACCTATTTAAAAGTAGGTATAAAATGTTATTTCATAATATTTGATGGAAGCTAATATGCTATTTATTCGTATTTATTGGAAATTACTTTTTTTATTAATTAGTATTGAAAATAAAAAAAATTGACAATAGACAGTCGTTTTATTTTTATATTTGAATGCACTTATAGGAAGTTTTATTTTGTGAAGGTTAGTATTTTTTAGTTTATTTTGACAGTTACAACTTAAAGATCAGCACCATCCTACTGGGAATTTTTAAAGGAAGCTTTATAATTTGTTTTTTTCTAACTATTAACAGTATATTCTCACATAATAATTTATCAATAATTTAAGTAATATTTGTTATAGATTATATAGACATAGATATGTAAATATAAATTTATTTAAATTGTTACCTACATTAAATAAAATAAATGAATCTATATAATATATTTATGTATAACTATGATTGGGTGCGATTATTTCTATGTATTTAACGTTGGATATTAATAAATTTTGATTGTATAAACCATGCGTGGATACTGGATATTAAGCAAAATCACAATTAGTCGATGAGTGGTAGAATATTTAATAGGATGATTATTTTAGATTTTTTCAAACTAATATTATTTCCCTGAGAGTGAATAATGAAAAGGTCAATATTTTTTAAGTATACGAATCTAAATTGTATTGTAGTAGAATTAATAAATAAAAGTGTATTAAAACTTAGAATTATATTATCTTATACAATAAATTAATATTACAATATAATTAAAGTTTATGTGCATAGATTTATTAATATTAGAACATTTAATATTTAATTTGATGAAACGGTATTTTAAATACCTTCTATTTATATAAATATATATTTTGTATACAGTTATGTAGGATACAACTAAATGAATATCTGCATACGGGTGTCAATAGAGTATAAAATGCCTCTGTCCGAAGTGAGAAGATGTGTAACCATCAAATTTACATTATTATTGATGTTAGCTACTGTAGCTTTAGCTCAATCACCAGATAATAACTCAGTAATTGGTCCAAATAAAGCTAATGGAGGTGCTGTCGCAAAGTTTCGTAAGTATAATATAATTAAGTAGGTATATAACTATTTTTATCTGAATAATCAATTTGTTTATAATAATATGTACCTACCTACCTAATCAGTGGTTTATTTTTTTTTCGTCCACTTTTAGAAGTAGTTACATTTATATATATTTATATATGTGTGTGTGTGTGTACATAAATTGATCAATAAATGTGTGGATTTAATATATTATACGCAAATTAGTCGAGTTTTGAAAGCCTTATTATAGTTTTACAAAAATTGGTTGAAATGTCTATAAACCTTGCATACAGGTATCGATTTGAAATTTTGAATATTTTTTTAATACCTATACTTTATGTATGTATACATTGTAGACATTATTTTTTTAAATTATAAATAGGCACCTATTTAACATTTTAATCATAATATAATATTAATTATTTACAGACTATATATAACTACTTTAGTATTCTTTTTCTGTAAAATTGAAAATGTTGTTTAAAATATTCATTTACAGAATGTAAATAAAAGTAATAAGTACAATTTAAAGATGTACGAGTTAAGACTAGTTAAAACGATATTTGAATAATATTTAAAGTCTTTAATAAAACTATGTATACAGATAGAAATGATAGGTACAAATGGTTCTTAATGTGTTTTTTTTTTGTATTGTTTAATAACCATATCAATAACCCTTAATCATTTGAAATATTTAGGACAAATCTTATTTTGAACTAATAGTATTTACCAATAATTTGAAAGAAAATCGAAAAAAGTAAACAATATACATAACTGTTAACTTTTAAAAGCGTAGTAAGCATCTATTTTATTCTCAATAATTGTATTATTGATTTTACGTTTAAAGATGTCCACTCTTATACTTTTATAGTTATAATAGTTGGCTTGTAGCTGATTCCCGATTACTTAACTTTATTACACTTTTATAATTATACAATATGCTGTACGTATACATTTTTAAATTAATTAAAAATCAAAAATCGATACTTACTAAAAAGGTTTATGACCGATATAATTACTTGTAGTTTAGTAAAATAAACCGGTAAACTTTCACTAAACGTTCTTGGATTTGTTGATCTGGAAACCAGGCAGACCAGTATCATATTTAATGTATTTTGAGTTGTTATGTCATCATTTTAATTTATCAAAATTAATTTATAATTCATACGTAGTATAATGTGTAATATATAATTGGTTACATGCAACAAAACCGCAGATAGAATGTTAGTTGTTACAGAGTCTTGTACATTCTTTACTATATATATTAGTGGTGCGTAACTGAGCACAACTCTCTTGTGTGTTTGCTTAATATAAAAAAAATATTTAAAAATTGTTAGATTTGCATGTTTTTTTTTTGTATGCACATAAAAATAAAGTTTTCAACTGTCAATATTGTAGTATTTTATGTAGCCAACGGGTAAATATTATATAGTCGCTGACCTTCTGCAGCTACACATAATCATTAATCAATGATAATCGCATAACGCATTGCTATTACTTCTCTGTTATTAACTAATATGTTCATATTTCTTATGTTATATATTATACTTAAAAGACAATATTTGTAGCATTATATAGGTGTGTCTACATATTGAATGATTGAATTGTAGATAAATAAATGTATTTACCACTGTCGGTTGACAATATTATGTAAGTCTTCGTGCGAGGCTTCGTAGGTAGGTACTCTTTAAAATTTAAATAAAATTTTTAATTTGTTTAATACATTTTTATTGCATACTTAACACATTTAAGAAAAAAACGTTCGTGCATATTTGCATTTTTATTTCTTATTACTTCTGAGGTCTATAATCATTAATCATAGTATAATCATATGTTTAGTCTAGGGTTATTATTTCGTAAAATACTAAGATCCATTGAAAGTTAAATTATTTTTTGTACTTCAATTACAGGGACCGATGTAATGTGTGATCCATCAATGAACTTGTAGTTTAACGTATTATCTACTAAAGTAATAACTATTTTTTTTATATACTATTTAAAACTATTTTAAATAGTATTATAATGTATTATGTAATCACTAAAATGTTAAGTTGACAGCAAAAGTGATCTTTAAATCTGATAAAAAATCATCAAATATTTTTTTATTGTATGACATGAACATTACTATTTGTCTTTTAACTGGCAGTCAATTAGTCTATAAGGTAGAGAGGTACTGTTAACTTATATATTGTATTTACTATTTAGTCTTCAATAACTTCCACAATTAAACTGTTTTTCATAATCTATATTGATTCCATTGAGTATGAGTTTCAGTATTTGGATCCACAACATTTTCAATGTTATTTGTGATTTAATGGATCAATCCTTACTTTTTCGGTGTACTTTATTAGATTTACATAGTTGGTATTCATAATTTAATTTTCACTATTTTTATATTTTTACATTTATTAAACGTTTTACGAGCATACGTAAACTGCACCCAAATGACTTTTATTTTGTAAACTGCGCTTGAAATTTTATCTATGTTAAAGAGGTGTAATGTAAACTGCGCTTAACAACTTAAGCTGTGCCCCGTTTGTAAAATAAACAAAACTTTTAACTTACTTAAGTCTCTATGATGATTGTGCACTTTTTCAATTATATCATAGAAATTTTATTTTCGTTTAGAAATACAAACACGTTGTTGCATTCTAAAACAAAAAAAAAAAGTTACAAAATTTAATTAATAAATATAATAGTATAATATTTGTAATTCTTAATTTAATTTAAATTTTAATTATTCATATTATAAGGTTGTAATAAATTAAATATACATTGGAGATAATTTTACAAAAATACAGCTATTGATTTTTTAAATTTTACCCGTACGCAGTTTACATGTTATCTTTTTTACATTTGATAAAAACTCGGACGCAGTTTACATATGTGATTTTAGATTTATCCGTATTTGGCGCACGTTACTTGGGCGCAGTTTACAATTGCAGCATTTTATAATAACTTTCCTAAATTAAATAGAGTTTAATTTACAATACGTAATAGTATACAGTTGACCTTTTATCACTTGTTATTACTCTTAACATTGTTTATTTACTAATAAATTTTTACAAAATATTTAAATCTTTTCAAAAATATTATAAATCAAAACGAATGTTTTTATTCTAAAATTTTAGAGATATCTATAGACTATAATTATGTACTTAATCGTAATGTATTCCGAAATTCATAACAATAAATTAAATAATATTTAAGATTTTTCTTAAAAACCAGACAATAGGCATATTAAAATATTTAGGTTACAGATTTGAAAAGTGTTAAATAAAATAAAATATAAAAATAATTTAGACATACGTAATTTTCTTCGATTTTTGGAAAAAAAAATTAGGAATTATCAATAATACCAACTTCTAAAATCAACAAAAACGTTTAACATATTTACTTGCTATAAACATAGATACATTGTAGAAGAATATAGATATAGCCATATAGGTTAAAAAACCATTGTATTATTTCATCCTTATTAAATACAAATTATGATTATAGCTCTATACTATAGTTTATATTATTAAGTATTAAGGTATAAATACTCGTCATTCGTACTTAAATTTTAGAATCCTCAACATTTTAATCTTGTTAATATTATCAGTTTTATTCGATATTTTCAAAGTAAACGTAGTATTTAATTATTATTAATTAAATAGAGATAATATATACCTAATAATTAGAATAATAAGATAAAAGTAAATATGTTCTTAATTTTTAACATTTTGGAAGTAGCTAGCTGCCAATTGAATTTCTAAAATTAAACTAAGCTCCCTCTTCCCTAATTAATGCGCTGGAAACATTTCAGGGATCGTAATTCCAAGCCTCTAGACATACAATATTTTTATTGTAGGTTTATTTTGTTGTATGCTTATATATGTTCTTGAAAATATTTAGAATCATCGGTCACCTACTCATCACGTGGATATATTACAACTATATTTTATAAATATTAAATAATACAGTCTGGTTTAAATATACCATGAAGGTTCACGTAAAAACGTTTAATAAAAAATATCTTCATCTACTTCTTAAAAGTATTTTAATTTGTTTAGAGTGTTTGGACCTATCCTTTCTAATCTAGAAGTCATCCCTAGTACCAAAATACCCAATAAAATATTATTTGGGAAACACGCCCAAAACTAAAAATGACAATTAAAATACTGTGTGTAAATATTTTTTTAACTTAAAATTAAAGTTCAACAAAACTTTGATCAAAAATATTTAAACTAGTTTTGATTTTTTTTCTCCGTAATTGGTATTATTAGAGGATATAAATATAATTGAAAATTATCGATTTACCAAAATATTATGTGTCATATGTAGCTACATACTACATACTTTGATGGCAGATCTAGAGGGCGGAAAACCTCGTAGGGAAGTCAGCTAACTGCCTGTCCTTGGATACGCTTATGAGTATCAATAATAATATAAAATAATTTTTTTCCAATTTATAATATTAAATTAAAGATAACAATAAAAATAATGACAATAATAAAAGTTTGCCACCTCCAAGTCATTGGCTGTGCGGAAGTAAGAGTTCAATATTAAATATTTAACAGATTATTATGCATAGGTATAAGTAAATGCAGTATTAATTTACTAAATAAATAATAGTTATGAATAACAATTAGACGTTTTATACTGTTTAATCAAATTATTTTCATTTATGTACAGGTAAATACTTTTCTCAGTGCAAAACACATACAATTGAATTTGACGAATGTATAAAGAATGCAATCAATAATGTCAGACCATACTTTACAACAGGTATTTTATACTATAATTTTATATTTTATATAATTATTCTATTTATATCATACGACAATCTATTGTACACGGTGAGAAATTTCCAAATTTGATATCCATCAGTGTGTAGTGTTGTTACCTGTTGGTTATAGTATACTCGTAATAATAAAGTGCGTATTGCGTAACGAATACATTATATTATATAACTACCTACAAATTTATTAAACCATAAAAACTTTACTTTTATAAGTTACGTGTTGGTAGGTAATTTAGTTCCAAAGAAATGTTAAATATTAATGCGTTGTTAATAAATTAATAATTTTAAACATCAAATATGCAATATAAGTGGACTAGTTAAAATGGTATCTGCTTATTTTATCTATACCATTATAGTCTGTAGGTACTAGTGTTATTGTGTGCCGTGTACAGAAACTTCAATGAGGGATTGTATCAAAAAAAAATGTACATATATGCATATGTGTTATATACGAAAATTTCGTAATTTTGTATAGTAAAAACAAATATATATTTAGACAATATTAGACATACGCTGTTTAGAAACTATCTTTCATTTTTATAACTAAAAAAGATTTTAAGACTTATGGTTCTATAAATGTTTTATACATTCTTGCCTACAGTACTATACATCATATTACATTAATACTCTAAAAAAAAATAATAATGATAATAATCTGATATAATAATTTACAGCAAAAAAAAAGAGTTTTCAAACGTAAAACAAATAAACTTCTATTGACATAAGATATTAATAGTCTTTAAAAAATCTAAATTCTTTATAATATTATTTTAAAGTACTTATACTTATAATTACATTTTTCCAAAAATTAGAATTTGAATAAATTAATTACGAAAAAAAAAATAAGTATGAACGTATTTTGCATCTTGTATATATTATTATGTGTGGTATGTATACGTACAGTACTACACTATTACAGTAGGTTATATCTTATTGTGTTAGTGGTATATTTATAGGCATTTATTTTCTTATAACATACATCTTAAGAACTCAGAAACCACTCGTTTGAAGTTCAAATGCATATTTAAATTTATAAAATATTTTAAAAAATATCTGCTTAAAAATTCAAAGAAAAAAAGAACATTTAAAAAACAAACTTTGTACCTACCGCCACAGAATAATTCTTAAGTAGTACGAAAAATGTCAAATTTTTAAAAGTTTCAAGTGTATTTACAAAAAACAAAAATAAGATTTTGAATAACTAAATATGTTTATTGGAACGATATCATTTGAAATTACTTAAAAAAAAAAATAAATAAATAACGTACCTATTATATTTTATGAACACGCATTAGATACTTAATTCGTCAATAACTTTTAAAACTATATGATTATAAATACCTACTAATGTGATTTTATCGTTACAATAATTTAATTTTGATTAAAAAGTAAGCTTATTACTTTTTTTTTAGTATTCAAATAAGTAGGTAACAACTAACAAGACTGTAGGTAAATTCATTACTTTTAAAAAGTATCTTATTTACCTAACACTAAAATTGCACGGTCTACGCATATATACAATAATTCTGAAGAGTAAAGACTAAACCATAAGACCTATCAATACCATACACAATAATACGTTGTACACACTACAAATTGGTACGCTTGATTTCTAGAATTATTAAATTAATGAAAATTAATTTCATTAGTTATCCATTACCTACTATCTTAAATCTTTACTTCACAATAACTTTTAAATACTGTTATTATATATTTATGCTTATAATACATTTAGATATATTAATTAAGATTGACACCACAACTATTAAATATATACCAATGATGTAAATAAATTTGGTTTAGGTGTACCAGAACTTGGAATTCCTCCGTTTGATCCATTCTTTGCAAAGGAGGTGAAACAAAGTAAAGGAGCTGGTTTATTGGGTTATAAGTTAACTTTATATAATGTAACTGAAAGCGGATGGAGACTTTCGGAAATTAAAAAAATCAAGTAAACTATTATTACATAGAAAAAAATTATTTTTATAAATACATTTTTTTAAATTTATATGTTTTAGAACTAACTTCAATACAAATACAATAAAACTTACACATTATTTCCCTGAGAAATATTTAGAAGGTTACTACGAGGCAGAGAATACTATACTACGGCCTGGAGTTACAACAGTTGGCCAATTCAATCTGACTTTATGTAAGAGAATTTTTGTGATCAATTGTTAATACCTAACTGCAATATTTCGTAACAGATCCTTGATAAATATTATTTTTTTTAATGCTCGTATTATGTCAATTGTAATAAGCTTTGTCTTGCAAATAATTTGTTTATAGACGATTATATTCAAACAATGACAATAAGCAAACCAAAAAATACAAATCAAATTAAAGTAACTGTACAACTTGAAGAAATTGGAAATATGTCTCTGCATATTAGCAATCTTTTGCGTGGAAGAGTTATCGTTGGTAAGTTTTTCGATATCTACCTACTTATTATATCAACAATACAAATTTTATAATTTTAAGTTTTAATATACTTATATAATAATTACCTTATAAGGTAATAGGTAATAGGTTATAGGTAGGTTTTATAGGTAATTACATTACCTTTATAAAAATAAAAACCTTGTTAAAATTATTAATTTCGTAATATAACTGGAAATTAATTTTTTGCCTATATTTTACACTCATACAATCTTTACGCCTAGGAACTTTAGTATGTTTTGGAGCAAAAACCAAAATTCTATGTAACTATTAACTGCGTCTGTGTGATTGTATGTTTTAACTTAATCGATATCATCTCTATGCATAGGTATATTTTAAGTAGCCATTAGTCCAAATTTCAAAGATTCTCCATTTAAATTTTTTCATTTTTAATATAATTAATAACTAGGTGCATTACAAAAATCTTAATTTTTGACTAACTATAAGTCCTTAAAAAAAAATTAAATTAAATTTTACGTACCTAATAATTTATTATACCTAAACAATACAATTTGTTATTTACTTAATTAAACGAAGCACATTAATAATTTCAAAAACATATTTTCAATTTCATGCTTATAAAATATTTTATAGGTAGAGATACTTAAGATTTGTATTTTTATTTTGTACATATTATATCATAATTCTTCCCTTTAAATTGATATGGTAATTTATAATTTTTTTTTTTCAGAAAACGTTTTGGACAGAATAATAAACGCCTCGTGGAGAGTTGGTTTGCCAGTTGTAAAACCACTTATAAACGACCTTGTTGCTTCAGCTTTTACTAAAATTTGGAATGATATTTTTAATGATTTTGATTTTAGTTATTTACTGCCATAAATTATTTACAGGTCTAGACTTAGTTTCACCTTAAAATATGGCCATTATGACAGCCCATAGTTTTAAATAAAAAATTAATAATGTTTCCGAGGACGTCGTACTTGTATATATGTTTACGTTTTTTAACATACGTCATAACAAATTTGCGTTCACAAAAATTTCAAGTGAGTTATTAAAACTTTAAAATGTTCATAATCATAACTCACTTTAAAAAAAATATATATATATCAATAAAAGCTTATGTGATACACTAGATAATATTCTTATTTTTGAATCTTTTAATAGGTAAATTTACTTTAATAAATAAGCTAACAGCATAAAAATATAAAATGGATTCGGCTGAAAGCAAGTTTGCCATGTTTAGGTTAGTAAGATGGAGACCACACATGCGGGTACGACGTCCTCTTATTTATAATTATTTTTATCATTATTACATATTTTTAAAACATAATTATTTTCATCAATCATTATTTCATTTCGAAATATTATCATTTTATTTATCATAAATCATATTACTGTTTATTGTTTAATGTTTTGTTATGAATTATTATTTTTTTATTTATTTAGTTTTAACTTTTATTCGTAAATAGCAGTACCTATAATTTATCTATTAGGTATCATAACTTAAAGAAATATTATAAGCACTCAATTTTGTTACACATACTTATATTTTTAACGTAATGTACATTTTATATAGAGTTAAAATATTGGTATTTGATCGCTAATATAGTATAAATATTAAATAAATAAGCTATGAATCAATTTTTATATAAATATATAATATAGAAAATAAAATACATCCATACCATAAATGATTGACATTTAAATCATTTAATGTCCGCCTATTGTATAAATGCTCAGCCCTCTCTCATCTAAAAATATTAACAACAATTTTAAAACTTAAGTACAAATATCAAAATCTCTTTTCAAGCCTATTTAGACTTATGGACTACAGCTCTAAGGTAGGTACTGCAAAAATATTTAAGCATTCCAAAGTATAGCACTTTTACATTTTTCCAACTAACACTACTTAACGATTTAAATATGAAAACTATAAATGAGGAAGCACGCCTCTTTTATACACGCTTTCCAAGCGACTCTAAAATCATCTCAATCTCTTTATAAAAGATCTATCAATCCCAACATAACCAGAAAATGCTCATTGCAGCCTGCAGGTTAAAAAGAAAGTGGTATCATGACTTACCTCCAACAAATATAATCCATATCCCTAATAATAATTGTTTCAAAATAAAATACATAAATACATAATATAATATTTATATAAAAAAGTTATACATATAGGTATTGCACAATAATCAAGCGTAATTGTAGAATAAGTTCTAATAATGCGTGTAATAGTGGAAAGAAATACATCAGCTGATATAATGCATTTAGCGCAATGAATATTTTTAATAGTTCTAAATGGACAAGAAATTATCATTTATTTTAAAAGGTCTCTATAATCTACATTATTGTCATTTCAGAAATTTGGAACTTGTTAGATGGGTATCCTAATATATTAGGCATGTTTTGACAAGATAGTACGAAAACTAATTGATTTAAGTGAAGGATAGATTTTTTATGTAAAGTATGCATGTTTAACAGTTTTCGTATTTTTGTATTGTTCATTTCAAACGTAAAACAATGATTTTAATATTGTTCCTTAATTATTCATAAAAATCGGAAATATTTACAATCTGTATTTAATGTGCCTATAATAAACAAAAACAACGTTAAGCCACGACCTCCTTAGTTAAAACTTAAACTGGACAAAGAACCCCTTTTTGTCCTAGCTAATAGAAGTTTCCCATTTTTGTACATTTATACATTACCTACAAATTTGTTAGAATATAAAAATTAAGAAAAAATTATTATTTGTATTAATAATTTTTCCTTACATTCTTCGAGTAATATTAGCACCATAAATAAGTACCTAGCTGTCTGGTCAACAAAGTTGTAGAGCCCCTAACTTTAAGCCGTGTATACTTGAAAATCCGCAGATCATCTAAAGGAAACTATACTGATTTTTTTTTTTTTTTATTTATCTTGGTATCGTCGAACAGGGGGAGAACTGTCTATGCTTTGCATTCCCGCTGGTCTAATTACTTATTTGATTTCCGAATGATGGTTATGTGACTATCTCAGACGTTAAACAACTATTCAAATGGTCTTGCAATCGTCTATTCTTGTAGTACCTACGTGAGAATAGATTTACATAGGGTTAATGATCACATTAAAACATTTAGAAACTAGTAATAATAAATAAGCTTAATTTCTTGTCCCTTGTGCGTTCATTTAGCTTTAGTAAATACATTTGTATTACCTACTGGCTATTTATTGTGTTATTAAATATAGTTGATACTTACTTTACTGTTTTGACTATATTATTTATAAATTTGATGTACAAGATCCTATAATAAAAGCACAGGAGTCGATTAAAATGTTCTAAAAATTATTGATTGAACAATTTGAATTTGAATTAAATTGAACATTTAATCAATACCCTACATCATTATTGGATTCCAAGATCAAAAAATGATATAATTTTTAATGCTTTACAAAATTATATTGAATGTTAGGTAGATACTTTTATAGAATACACCCGATAGGACAAAGGGAGTAGGGGGCATTATAAATATAAATAATTTTATTTAAAAAAAAGTTATATATTTAATAAATAATAATCATAAATGGGACATGACGTAATGCAACGAACGCACCAGTTATCTGGCATGCAGCATTGGTGTTAATCAAGTGGCTCTGTTGCTGGTCCCAGATGGGTGACTACCTTCAACCTTGAAAAATTAGTGATATACTCGTCATACTATAAGAACCAATCGTTAAGCAAAAAATAGTATCTCTCTTAAAATTATAATAATAAAAAATTAATAATTTCATTATCATTGATTTAAATTAAAAATTTTTATAATATTGATTTTGAATTAAATCTCTATGTAAAAAATAATATTTTTAAATTTATTGTTGATGAACCACATATTTATATTAAATTATTCTGTTTTTTATTTAAGAATTTTTTAACTATTTTAGTTGTGATAAAAATTAAAATGTTCCTAATTAAGTATACACTCTTTAATGTTCATCTACACAAAGCAAATCGCCATACATTTCTACTTTTTGCAATCGATAGATAATACAAGCAAATAGTTATATATTATGCAACTGTTTGGCTAATACTTAATAAATACCAAAAAACACAGTATTGTGGGCAAACACTTCATATTATGGTGTATCACTTGTCACTTAGATTGCACATTTCAAATGTATATCACACTAATTAAACCTAAATTATGTCACGCGATAATCACTTTGTATGTTTAAATAATACAATCTTATTACAAAACATTAATCTTAATATCAATTAAATTTTCTTTGAAATTAAAAATATATGCTTTAATTTAATAATTGTTGACAACATTCTTAGTGCTAATTTAAATCCAACTAAATATTAACTTCAGAACTACCATCATAGTACATCTGACATACTTTGAATTCTAAAAAACTACGAAATTCTCAACAAATAAAAAATAAGAAAATTAAACCCTCGATCTGTTATAAAAATGTAATTATAGATGTACAATACATAAAAATAATAAAACATTATATTACATTGAAAATTTAAAGTAAAAACAGCAAATAAGATTTTAAGGTTTAATGTGCACTGAATATACTTTGTAATGATTACTTTTTCAAAATCATTATCTCTTTACTGCATCAACCATGTGTTCTATATTTCTACCTGTAATGTTAAAACATAATTATTTAATTTGAGATCTAAATAACTTGCAAATAAATTATTTTCAAGTAAGCAAACTGGAGAAATTTCTCTGCAGTAAAATAGGTTTCTATGATTTCAAGTATACCTTGTCATTGAGGAAGTCTCTACAATATCATACCTAAGGGGGTGCAAGAGGTGTGTGTGCAGAAAAACAGACATTCTGTTTTTCAAACAGAAAAACTGAGACAAATAGATATATAAGTAATAAATACAAAAACAAAATTTTAAAACATTAACATGTGTTCTGCTCTAATTCTAGAAATAAATATACACTACGCATTTTATATTAATAGTATCACCTATTGTTATTTGTTTTTAAATTTAAATAGCATTGAATTAAAAAGTTTTAGTCCCAAATATTTTAAAAAACACAATTTATAAATAGTTTTATTGGCATATTGAACAGGAAAATCATAATTTAAATTTGATGATTTGAATTTATAGGATGATTCATAACATTGACTAGCAATAAAATAATGTTTTGAAATTAATTGTAAACGATCATGTACTTTCTCAAAAAGTCAAGGATATAATTGGTTTTATTATTTTTCTCCAAAATTATGACATCGTTCATTGTTGATACCATTAATACAAGTGTAATACGAGTGCTGCAAACAATAAACTCGACAATTTGAACAAAATAAAAATATTTTTAAATTTTTTACCAAATAAATAAAAATTATACAAATGAAAACTGATGTTGAATACCTAAAAACTTCATCTTTTAAAAATTGTGTCAGTTAAATGCCTTCCTTAGTTATTTATACAAGTAAAAGCCTGGCAACAAAGCTTCTCATGACGCTGTGAAGTGTTTTCAAAGTTATGTTAATTATTTCAAGGTAAATTCGCTACTTCAAATTAACAATAGTCCTTAATAGGTTGTTTTTAAACACTTTGGTTTTCATAAAACTCCATTGAAACAAATCAAAAATCATCAAATTCGATGAATGGGCAGGCCACTGAATGTTGCCTGTCAGGCTCTTACAATGTGTAGCTAACCAAGAAAGGCATTTGACAAACACAATTTTTAAAAAATGAAATTTTCATGTATGTAACATAAATTTCCACTTGTACACTTTTTATTTATTTGACAAAAATAAAATGTTTTTTCTATTTTTGTTTTTTTTTTCAAATTGTCAGGTTTGACTGTCACAACTGTACATTTTTATTACTAATGTATACCTATATAGTTCTATAGTGATAAGTACCTTAAATTTTTTTCCTAACCTTTAACATTATCACATATTTTAATATAATATTTATACTATTTAATACTTATAATTAATTTTAATATAAATACAAATGTGTTAAATTTCTGAGCTCAACCCAGCGAGTTATGTAAAATGTATAATTATTACTAGTGCCTATGTCAATAAAATAAATGAAATATATTCAAAATAGCTCTCTCCTTGTCTTAATATCTCTTTTAGAAATTGTTGCAGATGCCGACAAAAATTTAAGTGAAAAAAAAAGAAGTTGAATCTAATGAATACTTCTCTCCTAATCTTACATAGTAATCATATAAGTATAAAGTAATTAGTAAAAGAGGTGGAGGCATTAAAAATGATTCTTGGCTCTAGACACCGAGTCACCATTTCATCTATTACAGATGATTTTAATTCAATAATAAATCATTATTTATTACACATAAAAAACAATAATTTCAAAGAATTTTTTTAAATTTATTCATAGTATTATAAGTAATTTGAGTAGAATTAGTCTAAATATTTTAGAAATTTTATTGTTAATAGAAAATTTAAAATAATTATTAATGGCTTTTTTTCCAAAGTAATCCTTTTTTATATACCAAATTTCTAACAACACTATTAAATTTATTTCATTGAGTTATTTCAAATACTCATCCAAGTATACCCATATCACCCATTTTTTAAATGTTTGTTTAGGGTGAGGAGGAAAACAGAGAAGTATTGTATATTATTTGCAATTGTTACTTAAGAAAATGCTATATTTATTGTTTCAAAATTTACAAAAGTTGAAATTTTATTTGATATTTACATCTATATAAGTACCTAATTACATAAATAATTAAATTTTAGTGATATACTACTTCAGCTATTAAAATCTAAAATTGTTTACTTACTTGCACTTCATATTCAATTCCTTTACTTTTCAATTTATTTTGTAAAGATTGGATACGTCTTTTTAATGCAGCTTTACTTTGTTTTTCTTGTTTGAGATTTAATGGTCTTTCCATTGCCTTTCTATGTATTGACCTATTTTTTATTGTTAGAGGAATTTTATTTTTGTTGCAACGCCAAAATGTATTACTTTTTACTTGATTTGGAGGAAGGTATTTAGCTAAAATTATATAAATCATAAAAATTCAAATTTAATTTCCATTACTTTATAATAAGTTTTCTTACCAACAAGAATTTTCTTGTGCATTAAATAGTTATTCATAGTTTCTGCAACTACTTTAGCAACTTCCGGATACAAAAACTCTACAAATGCATATCCTTTTGCTTTACCAGTTTTCTAAGTAATTGTTTTCATTAATATTAATAAAAATCTACATAAATTAAAGAATTAGACAAAAAGTAAAATAATTACCTTGCTTTTAGGAATGTTAATATTTGTGACTTCTCCAAATTGTGTAAAATAATGTTTCATTTCATTTTCGTAGAAACCATGGGGAATATGGCCAAGATATACGACACCCCTATCATTGGATGCTTTGGAAGTTTTTTCTTTGGGTGGTTCGTCTTTATTTAGCTAAATTAAACAAATATATTTATTTATTAAACACATCTATTCATAATTTCCAAATTCCAAAAATTTGTCGTTTAGATTTTCGATAATTACAATTGAAGACTAAATTTTAAGTATCAATAAAACATTTTTGGTGTTAACTCACTTTTATAAAACCACTTTTAAACATATTTGATGATTTAAAGGGCACAATGTTCAATAATTTAAATTTTAAAAAATTAAACGTGAACACTGAACATCAATAGTCATGGGACATAATAAAATATAAATAATGATTCATGAGTGCAGCGTGCAGCATAAGCAGCAGCAGTAATAGCGTAGTGTTATGCTTATTGACTTATATGAAGCTAGTAACAAGATAAAATTATTATTTATTATTATAGGTTAGGTTATTATTTTTCATAGAACAGGTAGACTACTTTAGGAACCACAAAATTAAATATTAAATAAATAATACATTTTATAATTATAATTTTTATTGATAAGACGGTCTGACGGTGTTTGAAATTTTAAAAATCGAATTGAACATTAATACAATATTTCCTGTATGGATGCAAAAAAAAATATTATGATATAAATAATTTAATAGATTCTTATAGATTATCTTATTGATGAAACCGTAGACATTTTTATACGATGAAAATCATTATATTAGAAGTAAGAAATCCATCGTTTGACCAAAGTGAAACTTTTGATGACCAATTCGGGCTAGAACCGGCCTAAAATCTGAATCCCGCATTTTTTGTCAGTCTATTAATAGTCGATCCAGGCAGCTCTTGTTTTCTGCAGCAACGTCGATTTACAAGTTAACAATTCACCAACTCCTTCGCAATGGCGGTAAATTATATTTTATTCAGGCATTCTATTTAAATATTATTTAGTGTGAATGTTAATAAATAGTTCGTTATTAAAGGTTATCTACTTAATGTTTTTACCATCTTTGAAATGCTTTAAACCAATTACCAAACTATTGAGCACTTTTAAGTGTTTTCATTTGATATTTACCTATAGATACTTAAATATTTGTTGTGTTATGTTGAGTATTAAATGTTAAAACATAACAATTTGGAATATTATAACAATGACATTAAAAAAATTGAATTTGATAATCTTAGTATTTTTCTTTTTGAAATTTTTTTTATAGTTAAGGTCTCATTCCAATATTTTAATTAATATATATTTTAATATGTATATCTTTTTTAATTCTTATATCTTCTATACTTTAACAAGTCTTACATAAAAAACATTTATACTGTACAAATATAAAATAATTTCAAATACGGTTTGTACAAATCATATTTTTTCATGGTACACAAATTGTTATGATCACTATCCAGCCTAATACAGTTGAAAACTCTGTTTTTAAAATTACTTTCTTTTCTTTTTAAGATCTTTAAATAAAATTTACAATTGATCAAAAAAGTTTTCATATACTTTTTTTTTAAATATTATTTCGTATATATTTTATAAGATCCAGAATATAAAGAATTTATTTATTTTTAATTTTATCACAAATTAATTTAATATTGATATATTATTTTAATAAAATAAACTAATTTTTATTTAACATATGATAACAATAAATTACATATTACAAATATTGAAATAAAATATACCAAAATATAATATGATAATATCATAATTTAGTTTATTTATTTACCAAGAAAATTTTCTTGTTTTAAATAATAACAAGTAGGACTTTAACTCATACAATTTTCATACTAATTACTAGTAATTAGTATTTACTAATTTTTAGTGATTGCTAAATCATTATCTTGTTGAAAATAAATTAACTCTACAAACTTAATTTGTTCACCCTACTTCATAAATTATTTCTTAAAATGTCTAAATAAATGTATTGATCTATTATATCTATAAATACTAAATTTCCTATTTTTGATGCACTCATACATCCCCATATGTTACTAACCTAGTTAGTAAATACATTACTAACTAGTAACTACCGTGTTTAACAGCTTCACATAAATTCTGTATTATTAATTGTTTATTTGGTTTTCTTCATATTTTTTCTCTACCATCAGATGAAAGTACATTGAATTTTGATTTGTCAGTACAAATTACAAAGCTCCAGAAACTTGAATGCTTATTAATATGAGTTTTTGAGAAATCTTAATATTTCTTTTTGTTAACTGCACTTATAAATAGTTTCGTTCTAGAAGTATACTCTTATTATATTATATTTATATACAAATTGCTTCTATACATTTCACAATGAAGTACCACATTAGTAAACCTAACCACCATAGTCTTTCTTAACCATTATAGCCAGTTTTGGTGCACTAGTCTTGAAATTGTTTACTACTGTTCTTAGAATTGCCTGTTGTTATTTTAAGTTTAATTTCATAGAAGTTTTGACTTATTTTTTTTGTTTTATACTTAATGGTCAGTCACGAATCATTTATTTAAAGTTTTAGCAATTTTTTAAAAAGATTGTCTTTAATTTCTTAGCCAAATAATTAATGCATAAATTTCAATAAGTACTTCCATAGTTATTGTAGTTAAGAAAACATAACCAAGTATTTAATGTAGTAATAAAAATTATATAACAAATACAAATATAATAGATCAGAATAAATTACCAAAACACTTCGTTAAACTATAACACTACTGACAAGAAAAGTGAGTGTATAGAAACTTTGTTGATGAAAATGATTTGATTACATTGATTTTCTACTAAATGGATTTTTACACAAATATTCTTATCTAATCTTGTCATCAAAATTAATTATTAATTGTTTAGAAATTATTTGGTTGATAAAAAAAAATATATATATAAATTAAAATTTATTGAAATGGTTTAATAAATTAAAATATAATCTATAGAAACTATTTTGAGCCGAGTATATTCAATTATTAATTTACTATAATACAAGTTATTTACTTGTAAAATGGAGTTTCTCTTAAAAGATTTTATTAAAAATGTTATTTAAATATTTAGTTGGATTCCTTTATAATTATTATTAATAATTTTTAAAATAATTGATATGTATTGGTATTAAGCAAATAGTATATTATTATTATACAATTTTTATTTTTATTAATCTCTGTAAATTATTGTTAAAATAAGAACTAATAAACTTAAAAAAAAACTAAATTAATGTTAGCTTTTGGCATATTATTATCTGACACCTCCAATAACTCAAATATATCTGTTTTAGACTTTATTGGGTATTCAATTAATTATTACAATGATAGCCATTAATCTAATACATCGTCTTAGTCCTATTTATTCATTTGCTCGATGGACACTATGTTCCACAGGGTAAGTAATTTATTTTATTAACAGTAAAAGTATTAATTTTGTATGCAAGAATTTAACATCTCATAGTTTCATGTTAATATTTTTTCTAGACTTGTACGTTACCTACACCCTACAGATAAAGAGCTTAGACAGTTATCAGGACTTAAAAAAAAAGATTCAAAACTAAGTAAACGAACCATACATGTTCAAAATGAAAATATTGATATATTTCAAATACCCAAAAATTTAGATATTGAAGTGAGTAAGAAGTAAATATTTAGGTACTAAATAATATGTATAAGATAATTTATTAAATCTATAAAAATAATTTCATTTTTGTTTAAACATTACCATATATTTTAGTTGGTAAGTCAACCTATTCAAGAACATGAAATATATCAGCTCAGATATTTTATGGAATATCAATGGCTAGTAAATTTCTCTTTATATGCAGCTTTAGTCTATTTAAGTACTGAAATATACTCCTATTATTCACCAATTGATAATGAAATTAATCTAAGTATGCTATGGTGTTCAATTGTCATCGTTTTTGCATTGTATCCTTTTATTGAATAAGTAATAATAATAATGGATTTTAATTATATTTAAAAATTATTCTTTTTCCTGAATTTTTAAATTCTTAGCAAAATTCTCATGTCTCTAACTTTAGAATACTTCCGTGGTGGTTTTGAATCATCAGGTGAACGTTCAACTGTAATAGTTGCAGCTTGTGTTTATTTAGTGATTGCTATGATTATTTTAGTCATAGATGAATCTAAACTTGATGTTCGGTTGGATACTGCATATAAAAGCTTTAATGCAACTTCAACAGCATTTTTACACAACCATGGCTTATCTTCACAGTAATTATTTACATTATATCTGATTTAAATTTCTTAAACTAAATAGATTTTTGTTTTATATTTTTTAGGGGTCCTGCATCAAAGTTAATTGTAAAATTTTTCCTAGCTTTATGGTGTGCAATTACTGGTGCTATGTTTGTATTTCCTGGAATACGTACAGCTAAAATGCATTGGGATTGCCTTAAGTAATATATTTTTAAAATATAATCTAATATAAGAAAATAATAACCTTTTACAACTTTTTTTAGATATTATGAATGCAATGAGCTGCGTGGCAAATATTTCTCTTTTAGTTCAACTTTCATTAAAGGTTTTATGAATTTTAGTTTAATTACTCATTTTTTACTCGTTCTACTTTGGGTAAAACCAATAGCAGTAGATTTATTGACTGCAAAAAATCTTTCTGGATTAAATAAACCATTGTAATTATATTTGAACATAAATATTTAACTATTGTTAATATTGTGATTTTTTTTTTTTTTTTTAAGAATTACATTAGAACAGTTTGAAAGCTTAAGATGTTGGATAGTAGTATTAGTGGTGTTTCAAAGATTATATCTAATGCCTATGTTTATGCAAGCTTATCTTAATATGGCTCAAGAGCGTTTGGAACAACAAAAAAAAGAAGCTGGAAGAATTACTAATATAGATTTACAAAAACAGGTAAAATTCATTAATTATTTTTACGAATATTTTTATGTTAAAATTTATTGTTTGACTTTATTTTAAGGTGTCTGTGATTTTTTACTACACATGTGTTGTAGTGTTACAATATGTCATACCGCTTGTAATGATGTTGTTCTTCATATTTTTTTATAAAACATTAGGTAAACAATTGCTTATTTATGTAACACAAATAATGTTCATATATTATCAAAATTTTCTAAACCTATTTTTTAGGTAATTTCAGTTGGGTTCAAGTTATTGTGAACTCTTCTTCAACAATAAATAATAGTAATCAACATTCATTACTTGAAACTAACCTGGCATATTTTTCTATTCAGTCATTAAAACAAGTAAGCATTATTGACATTTTTAACATTATGAAATATATTTTAATTTTATAATCTATTAGGTATTAACTGAAGATGTCTATCGAGGAATATTTGGCTTTGCTACATGGTGGATATGTTTTTCATGGTTTCTTTCTCTGTCAGTTGGTATATTCTATCAATCTTACTTATCACCTAAGTAATAACCTAATTAAAAGTGTTTGTTTTTAAATATAATAATATAATTCCTAAACATAATTTTTGTAAGCAAACAAAAATTTTAAGGTGATTTTTAAAGACAAAACAGACAAGCAAGAAACGTTTGAGTCAGTCAATATTAGGAATATTTAGTAAAATTAAATTATTTGTATTGTTAAAAATATAAGGTAAACTTTTGTATATTATATATACTTCTTTAGTTGGTTAGATAAATATAATTTGTTCATTATATTATAATTTTAAACACTTTTCAATTATTGTTTAATAAAAAGTAAAATACATAGCATGGAAATATTTACCATTCAAGTATTAATAGTAAATAATATTAGTATAATTTTAAACTATGCACTTGAGCATTTATAGAAACTTCATTAGCTGGACCAATTGCTAAAACTGTCATTTGATCGTTTTCAGTAAAGTTTGCTGTTGGAATGTCAAATAACTTGCATTGCTTTTGAATACATTCTAATGTTTTTAAATCTGGAGCACGTAAAACAACTCTAGCACATTTGGAGGGTAAATTGCTCAATTTAGTTTTATTGTACGCAATAACTGATACAACTGCACACTAAAACAACCATAATTTATTGGATTAAATACAATTAATATTAAGTGTTTTAAAAACAAATTTTTAGGTAACTTATCTTTTTATAATTATATCACATATAAAAGTATACATTCATAAGTTAAATAATAATAATTGTTAATTAAGTATAAACTTGGAGACTCTGAGTGAATAAATCAATTTTTTCACTTTCAGCTGGGCCTATAGCCATTACTGTTTTAGATCTGGGTGCTACTTGTGTACGACCTGCGTCTACTACTACATAGGTATTGAATCCTTTTTCAATGGCTAATTGTTGAAATTTTAACATAGTTTCTTCATCTGCTACCTTGAATATATTCACTGGTTTATTGTTTGACTCCCAGTTATTTATTTCATTTGGACTTAACCTTAAGCCTTCTTCATAACAGTGCACAATTGCATGTGAGCACTATAGAATGATAAAATTATACTTAGTAAAACTGTTTAACTTAAAGAAACTAATTTAGAAGTTACGGAATATCAGTGAAGTGATCAATAAGCCTAATATATTTAATTATTTCAAACAAAAGAAAAAAATTAATTTCAACCTTAACAACCATATGTAGTTTTTAGTTCAAGTTATATTAACAATATATTACTAAACCAATAAATGTATCCCATTTTCCTGACAAATTTTTGCCAAAATAAAAGTTAAATAGTCATATATAATTAAATTCCAACATAAAATGTCTAGTTATACATGGTACTTAAACATTTATTTACAATGAATTTTTGAATATTTTTACCAAACCTATTAAAATTGTTCAAATTAATTTACAATAAATAAATCATACGTCAGAAGTCCAAATTTTAAGTGTGTGTAACTGAATTGGTTATCTAAAAAAAATGTATATTATCTAATAATTTATTTATTTATTGAAAGTAAATTCCAGATGGTTTTTGACAAAAAACAAAAATATATATTATACCCTATGATGGGCCAAAGTATAAATAATATTAACAATAATAATAATAATGTAAATATAAATAGTAATTAAATAAACAGCATTTCAATTTTTTTAGAGAATCAAAATAAAAAAAACATTAGAAATGTTTTTGCATGACATATGCATATAGGTTAAGTTGATAGTTTCTGAAATAAGAATTTATTAAGAATGAGGGAGAAATCATGAGTATTTATGACCAGGGCTGTATTCAGAGCAGGGCAAAAGGGCATATGCCAGAAGCGCAAATTTCAATACCATTGTGTAATATTTTAAAAATGTATATTTATTTTAATAACACTACAGTAGTCTCAATTTATTTTTATTATGTAAGGCTGTTAGAGCACAAAGCTTTAAATATTAGAAATTCATTATCCATGGAATATCTATAAACATTATATAAATATATAATTTATACGTGAGTAATATTCTTGTAAAGTAGCTAGGTATGTAATGTATTTATAGAATAATTATAATTCAATATGAAATGGTATCTATACGAAATATACCAGTACATGGCCTGTTATTTGGGAAAACTAGCTTAATTGGTTATTGTTTTTATCGTTGCAATTATGTATTGTTAGCCGTTTTTTGTTTCAATTTATTTGTGATTTTTGTTTATTGGAGATGTATAGTCCATTTAATATAAATGTTTACTAAAAACAAACCATAAGTGTACTTAAAATTGATATGAAAAATGTTTATGATATATGAATAAGATCAAGATTTAAATTTTAAAGATTTATTTTCTTAAATTAAAAATTTTAAATATCAGGTTCAATTATTAATGACGACATTTGGGAATGTAACTAAATTAGATATTCTAAAACATAATCATCAGTACTTTACATATTTATAACAGAATTTAGAGGTGATACTACAAATATTTTTAACAATTTTTGTCACTACAGCTTCATATGAAAGGAGCTTCAGCAAACTGAAAATTATAAAAATTATCTTAGATCAACAATAAGTCAAAGTTATCTCACCAGTATGGCTATATTATAAAAAAAGATATAATGAAAACAATTTCATTTGATAATGCTATTGATAAATTTGCCAATATAAAAAAGCAAGAAAAGTATGATTGTAATATTGAGTTAAAATAATTAAACACGATTGTAAAAAAAAAAACTTGTTTTTATAATATAGTAATTGTTTATGTTGAAAAGTTATTTAAACATATTTTATGTTATCCTAATGGTTTTTTAAGCAAATGTTAATTTCTCATTTGAGAAGGAAAAGGACACTAATGTAGTGTCGCTACCAAACCTTAATACAGCTCTGTTTACAACACATATCTTCCTTAAATCTTAATATTTTTACTATGAGCTCTGAGTTATAATATTAACTCATTTATAAATAAAAATAACATCAGTAGCCATAAGTTTTTTGCTATAGATGTTAAACCACATTATTTCTTTATGAAATTTAATAGAAAATCTAATATTTAAATAATATTTAGAGAAAACATCTTTGTAGTTTTTTTAGTTTATTAAATAATAATCTGAAAAATGATTATTTCTAATAAGAAAAACGATAAAGAGTTAAAATCTAATTAGGAACTGGATTTTTTTGCATACACACAATAACAGTTTGTACATATAAACAAACAAATCCAGACTTTAGTTATTAGAAGTAATGCATAAAAAACATTTACATATTATGCATTTTATATAAAAAATATCAATAACCAATTAAAATCGATAAATTTCATGAGAAATTGTGTGTAATTAGTGATTATTTGTTTATTTTTGTAATTTTAATGCATTTTACAATAGTTAAATAGTCATATGCATATATTTTAGAATTTTAAGAATTAATTTCAGCATGAATAAATTAGTCAGCATTTTTAATAAAAGTGAGGATCATATCATAATATTAGATGTAAAGAATACAAAAAGAAGAGTAATTTAATATTATATTAAATCCTATAACAGCAGACCCCAAACTGTGAGGTGCAATATAAACATTGATAATGTATATATTCACCGTAAGTACTAATTAAGTACTATACACTAACAAAAAAATTGTTTCATTTATTCAAAGGAGACACAATTAAATTTTTTTATTTTTGGAGATGCATGAACCAAAAAATTTGAGAACCACTGGTCTATAAGTTATTTAAAAATTTAATTTAAATTGTATGGATATTGTACAGAAATAAAATACTTATGATTGATGATTTTTTTAAAATTAAAAAAACATAATGTTTTACCCACTTAACTATCACAATTAACTCAATTTTAGACTTTGACATTTTATAAACCTTTATGCCAATTAGTTAATTATAACTTAGAAGAAAAATATAAATATAAATAAAAGTGAAAATTATTTTAATAATATTAAACTTAAAATTTCACAATGGAAATCTGTTAATGACACTTAGAAATCAGAACAAATTAATTCACCTAAATTTACATTAACACAAAATTTCCAATCCCCTTAAAAAAATATATATATATATATTATCATGAATTCACTCCTGGACTAGATAAAGGTTTTAAACAAAATAAAAAACATTTTAAATTTAAAATGAAATGAAATTCAAATTATCTCACTTGTGCTGCAACTTTGCCTTTGCCCATTTTCAAATCATGACGAACCAATAATGCCATTTTGAATTCTCCATTTTTATTTATTGACAATTTAGGTTGTTGACTTTCACCCACACTTTTTTCATCTTCACTTGTCCCTTTATTGCAAAGAAAATAATTCTTGATCATATTAAAAGCCAGACCAATCAGTATACCAGAAGTTAATCCACCATAAAATGTATTAGTTATAAAACTCATTTTAAACACAGTAATGATATTGCCGATACTCAATAGTTTGGTTTAAAGTAAAAATATGAATCTTTTTTTAGTTTAAGTTATTAATAAAGTCATTCGACTTTTCTACAATTTACACTGTAAGTCTGTAAATACTATATGTAAAATCTAAAACGTATAGAAGTGTTCATTACGTTATAAACCGTATTATTCAGCAGCTTTCTGCCTAGTGTCTACTTCCTTATATTTTATATTAAACATTTTACACCTTACAAAATTTAAACAAAAAACATCAGCATGTGCTAATGAATAATGATTACTGAATTGTTGATAAAATTAAAATAATAGTATCACAGACTAAAAATGTGCTATTGATATCTTATCACTGAGTAATATAATAACTTAACCTTAAATAACAAATAGTTCAATATTCTATAAAAAATCCAAAGTACCTCAAAAGTACCAAAATGGTTGTATTGTGGACATTGTGGTAGACGTTGGTAACAACGCATCAATAACGATATCCTAATTCCATTAACATTCAAGTAAATAAGTAATGTAAAAACAAAAAAGTTGTAGTAATTACTAACAGTACTAACTATATAGTAATTAAAACTAGTAAAGAGTAAAGACATAGTTGTTTAGTTATCAAAATATCAAATCAAATTACAATTTACAATTATTAATAATAATTTATTGTACTAACTTTAATTAATCTAACGTAACAAACAAATAGCTTTGTAAAAAAATGTTATAGAATTTTATTTACATGTTTTAATTTTCAATACAATAATTTAATATTAAACATTTTTTTAAATAATATTTTCTTATTTTTAACGGCATTAATTACTAGAGCAATATGTCCAAAGAAGTAATGATCACCCTAAATACTCCCACAACACCAGTTCAACAAGGCTTATTTAGAAAACGAAGCAGTAGACCAGTGCACATCAAATCATGGACCATCATGTTAAATAAAAATGGGTTTGTACGATGTCATCTTCAGCATTGCCGATATATAGCTTATTGCATAGACGACATGAGAGAGCATTTCAAAACATGTCGCGGTGAAGTAGCTGGAAATTTTGTGTGCCCAACATGTGGTGGTCAAACAACATCGCAAGAAGCACTTGATTATCATAAACAGAATAATCATAAAGATTCTGATATAATGTCAATTATTATAAAACCCACGCTTACTGAACAACAATTGACTGTATGGACAACTGATATCAAGACACGTGGGTACACTCAGTGTTTCATGCCTGATTGTCATTTCATTAGTTACAAAATTTCTGAGCTTGAACAACACTATGAAAAGTGTCTAGGTGAAGATCCAGACACATCGTCTAAGTTCTTATGTCGTCATTGTAAAGGTTATACATCATCCCAACAAGCTCTCCAATTCCATCAAAATAATCATCATAAAGATTTACTATTTCCTATAAAACAGGTAAGATTGTATATTTATTAATTTATAATCTGAAAATACAAATTTATTTATTTACAGTCTTATTAATTAGTTAAAAATTGCAATTGTAGTGCTATTTTCTTTTAATTTGTTTAGTCGACATAAATAATCTTAAATTTATTTTTTTATTTTTTTAAGATAAGATTTCATTTGAATATTTCTAAAAATTCCCTTTATTTTTTAATTTAAAATAACTAGGTATTTCTGGTGATCAATTTTAAAGTACTAACATACTTATGTGAAATTTATTATTATTAATTTTAGGAAAATAAAGATGATTTTGATGAAGATAATAAAATTAAATCTTACCCAATGGGTCAGTATGGACATCCAACATCAAGTGCTACAAATCCTGCTAGCAAAATAGTAACATACTCTCAATGGAAAATGCAAGAAGACTTAGCCGATACAGAATCTATCTGTTCTGAGGTGAATGTTAACAATCCAACTGATGCTCAAATTAAAGAATGGATAATAGATTTAAAAAATGGTTATGTACATTGCAATCATAATTCTTGCAAATACATGTCATTTGATGTAGACGATATGAATGATCATTTTGCTACATGTTTTGAACCATATTTAGATGATGAATTTGAATGTTCTATTTGTGGAGGTAAAACCACATCATCAAATAAACTAAAAACCCATCTTTTGCACCATCATGAAGAAGGTTACAAACACTTAACAGAAGAGGAATGTGGTTTTAAATTAGTTGAAACAGAAGATGGTTTAGAATTGCAGTCAGAAAATAAAGAGTCTATAAAACGTAAAAATGATGAGGTTGATGAAGAATATGAAGAGAAACATTCTGTCAAACGAAAATCATATGATATACCTTATAACCATTTAACCAAATGGCGAGATGAACTGTTACGTAATAAATTTATAAGGTAAGTTGTCATTCTTCTTATCAACCCAAGTTAATAACCATATTATTAATTTATTTTTTATTTTTATAGATGCACTGCTGCTGATTGCAGTTATTTAGCTTTAGATATGCTAGAAATGAAACAGCATTCAGATGAGCATGTGGATAGTGTTTATTGGTCATTCAAAGATCGCAATTTAGAAGATAGAGTAGCAAACTATTGTGATGCATGCAATGGTCATTTCAAAACTGCAAAACATTTAGATGGTCATAAATTAGTTTCACATAATAGTAGTGATACATCCAATATTGATAGCTTATTAATTGATACCAATGAAGAAAATATTGAAGATGATGAAGAAATTGAAGAAATTTTTTGAATATTAATGTTGATATCCTTACATACTTACATTAAGATTACAAATACACATTGTGTGTTCAATTTAATTTCATATCGGCCAAAAGTTCAATATTATGTTTTATTGTAAAAAATTATTTAAGTTCTTTTAATTATGTCATTTTTGTAGCTTCTTGAAAAAAAATAATTAAACTTGGTTTTGACAATTTATAGAAATTGTTTTATATTATTTTCTTTGTAACATAGATTATCTATTTAATATTATTTTTAATTAATAATTGTGTATTAGGAATTATGTTAGTCTCTTCAACCAATCTTTTAGTACAAACCTTTTTTAAGATTATTGAAACCATATTAAAAATGTATTATACATTCTTTGTGTAATAATTATTTTGTATTATACTATTCATTTAACTTAACTTTAATTTTTACTATTAATTTATGTAGTTTTTAAAAAAAAAGTGTTAATGTTATATTTTTAAAATTTATAACAGTAAGGTTTTTTAAAAATTCTCACAATTTCAAAATTTACAGACATTTTGTGTAGAATGTATAAATTAATTAGTAGATATGGATCCATTATGTAATTTCTTTTAATTTGTAAATTAATTACACTTGATCACTGTTATAAATATGTATGATGATACAACAGTTTGATAATAAATAGTCATCAAAATTATACAATTATGCTGAAAAACCTTATTTGAAAATAGATAGGTAATGTTTGTAGTATAAGCTTTCCTGAAAATATTATTAATTAATTTAAATACAATTAAATTATGGACTGCATTTTATTAATTTAGATATTATTGGAAAATTAAAAATAATAATGTCGTGGTTACAAATAGTTTAAAAAAAAAATTAATTTTGGCACTACACAGTTCTTGGATTAGCTGTATTTGATGATTTTGTAATATACGAGTACAATACTCTCTTTAAACTTAAATTTATGCAAACATTTTGCAGTCTAGAAATTTGAAAATCAAGACTTCTATAATAATTTATTTTTGAAATAAATACTAAAAAGTCAATTTGATCTATTAATCATGTTTTGTGTATTAATTTCCTTTTATATCAAATTTTTTGATAATTTTTAAATGTATTTATTTTTTACCTAGGTACTTATTATAAATTACAACCATAAACCAGCAACAAATTTTAAGATCGAATCATTTTTCTGCTCATAAAAGTAATGTAAAATACAATCATTATGAAATCAATTAATTGATTGCTTCAATCAGAATCAGAATATAATATATACCTATCTAATTATGATTTTCAAAATCACTTTTTTCGTAGAAATTAAAGGTAAAAATGTAAAATAGATTTCCAGATAATTTACATAAGAGAAAAAATATAACTATTATTAAATTTATAAACATGATAAAATCGATATATACCTAGATAAAAAAAAAAAAAAATTAAAAAATTAATATTTAAGTAAACACAATATGATAAGATAAAGGAATTTTTATCTATGAATAATTCAAATGCCTTATTTTTTCTTTCATAAATAAAAATTGTTTTCTGTCTAAAAAGCTTACAAATGTAATGCAATACATACTTTTAAAAATGTAATCTTTGAGAAATTTAAAAACTATTAGTGTAAAATACATTTACAAAGTTTTCTTCTTTTTTTTTTTTTTTTTTTGTTAAGAGTTTGAAAATTAAATATATGTAACTAAAAATAATTATTAGGTATCTAAAGATTTTTTTTATTTTATAATGTATTTTTAAACATTTTAAAAATTTCAAATGCAAATATAATCAGTTTGAAAAAATCTGGAACACAGTTATCTAGAAAAACTTCTCAATTTTTTTTTTTAGTGAAAAATTCATATTTCTATGACTTATAATAACGAGTGCTGAGAAAAATGGGAAAAACGAAAGCTTATTTTTACGGTCGAATTTTGTTACCAGAACGGCTTCTTTATCGTAGCACTAATAATTATTAAACAGATAATTGCTAATTAGAATAACATGTCATAATTAGGTACCTAACCTATTATATGACAGGGCCGATGCAAGGACAGTGCAGTCTGTGCACCTACACAGCCGCACAAAGCTTGCATAAATGCTAAGTCCCGCGGAAATAGAGTCCACTCTAGAAAAAGAAATCATCAGTGACTGAATATTTTAATTTAGAAAAGATAACAATATTAAGAATAATATTATGTTTTATAAACTACTACCAAAATAATAGTTTAGTAATATCCTAAAAAACAATACCAATATCTAATGTACTATATTTATGTTAATATTGTTTACTGATCTTAATGTCCAATAAAATTTGAAAAAAATAAGGAAGTTTTAATTAATAGGGCAACTTTTCATATGCCATAATGCCATATTGTCATTGTCTGGGCGGTTTGTTTTCATTAGATGAAATCCAGAGATATGGAAATAAAACTTAAAAGTACTTATTGAAGTGAGTTTTAGTTATTAATACTATGTCAATACGATTGTTGTATGAGACAAATTGAAGCTCGTTTATGTGATTTTTGAGGTCATTTGCATTAAATTGTAAATTAACAGAGAATTTTTTATGACTGTTATTCATTTTTTCTATCTAATAGACTAGTGATTACATTTGGAAGTAGGTATATTA